ACTGTCGGGTGGTGTGGATAGATGAATACACAACATTGGGGAAGTGTGTGTCAGATTGGTAGAGCTGTACCAAGTAAACAACATTGGTTAGGTTGGCAGGTTGACTTAACAAGCAACTAATTGAAAGGAATATATCGATCTATCGATTCCTCTGTGCACTGGGCTATTAGTCTTGTATAGTGGAGCTATCTAGATCAAAGCAAAGCATCTATTTTGTTCACGTTTCCTTTCTAATCATATCTAGTTGGTCTGTGTCTGTCGATGTGTTTGTGTGTCTGTGTGTGTGTGTGTGAGACTGTACAAGTGTTGTGGGTATTATACATGAGCAGTGGGCATTATACATGAGCAGTAGGCATTATACGTGAGCAGTGGGCATCTCTGGTATTCTTTGCACTGATGTAGGCCCTATTCGGTATAAATGGGTTGCAGATAAGATTCATTGAATGTGAGCAGTATGCAGTTGATGTGTGCACTATTCTTTCGCTTTTGGCTGACATGACAACCTTTCAGTCCAATCATTTTTATCGATTTTTAAAATATGTGTAGATTTTTTTCATTTATCTTTCCCGCTTACAAGCAATTCTGCATTGGCTTCTGGTGTCCGGTTGGTTACTGAGAACGGCTGTGGTATTTGGCTAGTGTGATATGAGAACGGCTGTGGTATTTGGCTAGTGTGATATGAGAACGGCTGTGGTATTTGGCTAGTGTGATCTGAGAACGGCTGTGGTATTTGGCTAGTGTGATCGTGCACTAAGAACGGCTGTGGTATTTGGCTAGTGTTATCTAAGAACGGATGTGGTATTTGGCTAGTGTGATCTTAGAACGGCTGTGGTATTTGGCTAGTGTGATCGTGCACTAAGAACGGCTGTGGTATTTGACTAGTGTGATCTGAGAACGGCTGTGGTATTTGACTAGTGTGATCTGAGAACGGCTGCGGTATTTGACTAGTGTGATCTGAGAACGGCTGTGTTATTTGGCTAGTGTGATCTGAGAACGGCTGTGGTATTTGGCTAGTATGATCTGAGAACGGCTGTGGTATTTGGCTAGTGTGATCGTGCACTAAGAACGGCTGTGGTATTTGGCTAGTGTGATCTGAGAACGGCTGTGGTATTTGGCTAGTGTGATCGTGCACTAAGAACGGCTGTGGTATTTGGCTAGTGTGATCTGAGAACGGCTGTGGTATTTGACTAGTGTGATCTGAGAACGGCTGCGGTATTTGGCTAGTGCGATCCGTGCACTGAGATACACCGGCTATTGATTAGCCTGTGGTTGTGGATGTAACCGAGTCTTCTAAGCTTGAAGAGCTCTATCGTGTTTTCAAGAAGGCTTAGCTAGAGTGTAATGAGGGTGTGTGTGGGGGCGTGCGATGCGTTCGTAGATGTAATAAACCTGACTAAACGTATAATAGAAATGGAATCGTTAAACCACGGTAGACCGCTTCTGTTTGTATGTCCCAGTTACGTGAACCGAAGGATAAACAGCATTAGTTGTAAATCTTATTAAATTATAGTCAGTCTTGGTTGAACTATCGTCTTAGTTTTTGTATACTGTCGTTATAATCGTGTGAGAATGAAGTAGCAGTCTGAATAAGCCTTTGTTTTGTCCATTTCTATCATCATGTAAGGAATCTGAATGGCTAGCAAGAAGGTAGCAGTCTTAATGTAGCTAGAAGATAGCAGTTTGAACATATCCAGAAAGTAGCAGACTGATAGTAGCCAAAAGTTAGCAATCTGAATATATCCAGAAGGTAGCAGTGTGAATGTAGCCACTATGTACCAGCCATAAGTTAGCAGTGTGAATGTAGCCACTATGTACCAGCCATAAGTTAGCAGTGTGAATGTAGCCAGAATGTACCAGCCAGAAGCTAGCAGTGTGAATGTAGCCACTATGTACCAGCCAGAAGGTAGCAATGTGATTGTAGCCACTATGTACCAGCCAGAAGCTAGCAGTGTGAATGTAGCCACTATGTACCAGCCAGAAGGTAGCAGTGTGAATGTAGCCAGAAGGTAGCAGTGTGAATGTAGCCACTATATACCAGCCATAAGTTAGCAGTGTGAATGTAGCCAGAATGTACCAGCCAGAAGATAGCAGTGTGAATGTAGCCACTATGTACCAGCCAGAAGATAGCAGTGTGAATGTAGCCACTATGTACCAGCCAGAAGATAGCAGTGTGAATGTAGCCACTATGTACCAGCCAGAAGGTAGCAGTGTGAATGTAGCCACTATATACCAGCCATAAGTTAGCAGTGTGAATGTAGCCACTATGTACCAGCCATAAGTTAGCAGTGTGAATGTAGCCAGAATGTACCAGCCAGAAGGTAGCAGTGTGAATGTAGCCACTATGTACCAGCCATAAGTTAGCAGTGTGAATGTAGCCACTATGTACCAGCCAGAAGGTAGCAGTGTGAATGTAGCCACTATGTACCAGCCAGAAGGTAGCAATGTGATTGTAGCCACTATGTACCAGCCAGAAGCTAGCAGTGTGAATGTAGCCACTATGTACCAGCCAGAAGCTAGCAGTGTGAATGTAGCCACTATGTACCAGCCAGAAGGTAGCAATGTGATTGTAGCCACTATGTACCAGCCAGAAGCTAGCAGTGTGAATGTAGCCACTATGTACCAGCCAGAAGGTAGCAGTGTGAATGTAGCCAGAAGGTAGCAGTGTGAATGTAGCCACTATTTACCAGCCATAAGTTAGCAGTGTGAATGTAGCCAGAATGTACCAGCCAGAAGATAGCAGTGTGAATGTAGCCACTATGTACCAGCCAGAAGATAGCAGTGTGAATGTAGCCACTATGTACCAGCCAGAAGATAGCAGTGTGAATGTAGCCACTATGTACCAGCCAGAAGGTAGCAGTGTGAATGTAGCCACTATATACCAGCCATAAGTTAGCAGTGTGAATGTAGCCACTATGTACCAGCCATAAGTTAGCAGTGTGAATGTAGCCAGAATGTACCAGCCAGAAGGTAGCAGTGTGAATGTAGCCACTATGTACCAGCCATAAGTTAGCAGTGTGAATGTAGCCACTATGTACCAGCCAGAAGGTAGCAGTGTGAATGTAGCCACTATGTACCAGCCAGAAGGTAGCAGTGTGAATGTAGCCACTATGTACCAGCCAGAAGGTAGCAGTCTGAATGTAGCCAGAATGTACCAGCCATAAGTTAGCAGTGTGAATGTAGCCAGAATGTACCAGCCAGAAGGTAGCAGTGTGAATGTAGCCACTATGTACCAGCCAGAAGGTAGCAGTGTGAATGTAGCCAGAAGGTAGCGGTGTGAATGTAGCCAGAAGCTAGCAGTGTGAATGTAGCCAGGAGGTAGCAGTGTGAATGTAGCCAGAAGGTAGCAGTCTGAATGTAGCTATAACGCAGCAGTGTGAATGTAGCCATGCTGTAGCTTGACAACTACCAGCACACCCCAGCCTGTGTTGAGATAAGCCCCCACAAAGACAACCTTTAACCCCAGTGGATGGGCTGAATGAAAGCTTCCAGTGTTGGGGCTAGTTACAACTATTTGTCCGCATGGTCTTGCTCTTTTTATTTCCTACATTTAACTTCTTACACGGAGATTACAGCTCTAAAATAAACTGCGCTTGTGTATTCTGAGTTGAGACTTTAAAATCTCAACTTTTTGAAAGAGGTTTATTTTTTTTTTATTCTAAAGATGGTAGTTGAGCATGGGTCTCTGACACATGTCATCCAAGTCCGAGTCTGTGCTAGCTAGTGGTGTGTGCTTGTGATGTGTACTAGGCCATGTATCAGTGCAGGGCCCATGTTTACGCTGCATTTGTTTACCCTAACCGTCTAGGCCTGGCATGTGATCTGTCGGCTTACGTCTCGGGTCGTCCTGACTCGCGAGGTGTGACAGGCACATGTTGGTCATGGGACAGTCAACGGTGCGACATCTGCGTGGGTTACCTAACAATGTACAGGCACATTTATCTACTTACCTTGTTCCGTATACAATACCTGTACCTGCTTACAGTTACCTATACAAGTACCTTTACCTACAACTGATTACACTGTACAGTATACGTGTTCATTTACCTACTTTCCTTGTACAGTATACAGGTTACTTTACCTGCCTTTTTTGTACAGTATACACGTACATTTACCGGCTTACATTATAGGCCTACATTTTACAGATAAATTTACCTACTTAATTATTTATACAACTAGCCTACATCTACACTATTCAGGTGCATGCACCTGTATACTGTACTAGTTAAGTAGGTAATTTTATTTTTACCTACATTCAATATACATGTACATTTACCAACTCCCCCCCCCCCACACACACACACAATTGAGTTACGTGTACCTCAGTATACACGACATAGGTACACCTGGCTATGGGTTCCCAACAGTTGGAACCTTTAGCCGTGTTACCGAACCAACATCACAACGCCCTCTGTTGACCTGTATCTCTCGATCTACTTCCACCCTAACGCCCGCCAGATGTGTTCAATAGCCGCGAAAGAATGTACACCAGTTCCGTAACGTAGTACGGGGCGCGCGTAATGCTGATGACGATAAATCTAGGTCAAATGGGAATCTACTAGACCTTGGGCTCACTTCACCGATCTAAGAAGGGGCGGGTAATTCACTTTTATCTATCCAAATAATACACTTTGGGTTGAGTTCTCTTGGCAATGATTGTTTAGCATTACACGGGTACTAGATAGGCTATATAGAATAAGAGAGTTTTCTTTTTCTTAAATTGGAAGTCGAAAAAAAATATATTTCTTAATATTTATCACGAATTAAAATGGCATTGAAAAGGTGCAGTAAAATGATGCTTGAGAAATAAGCTTAAAGATATAAGTTATCTCTTCAAGCATTCAAAACCTCATCTTTATTCCCAAACCGCCTTTCATTCATTATGAGGCTGTTAGATTTGACTAGTAAAAAATATACTTTATAAAACAAACGTTTTCCTTCACCAGAATTAAAGCATTGTCAAAGTGGTAAACCATAAAACAAATGTGTTTTTCCCCCCACAGATCACTTAGTAGCACATGGAAGAATGAACGAGCGAGAAGCCAGAAAAAAGTTCCAGCAGATTGTCTCTGCCGTGGCCTACTGCCACAGTCGTGGCATTGTTCACAGAGACCTCAAGGCTGAGAACCTGCTGCTGGATGCCAACCTCAACATTAAAATTGCTGGTGAGTCTTACCTGGGTTTGGGGGAGCTGGCTCAGTTTTAATTAGTACCCAGCATTTTATAACATAACACATTGTTGGCTCCAGCCTGCTGCTGGATGCCAACCTCAACATTACAAAATTGCTTGCCTGTGTTTGTTAGAGCTAACTTAGTTTTAATTAGTACCCAGCATTAGATAATACAGTGTTGGTCTTGCTGCATATATATATATATATATTTTTTATCAACCTAATCAGACACTTATACATTTTGTTTATTGAATGTGGTGAGTTTGATTGCTTTGCCTTACAGATTGGTAGTTTCTTTGCCAGTGTTTAATTTTTTTTTCACTGAATTTTTTTTATTGTTACAGATTTTGGCCTTAATCATTTATTTGCCCCTATTCTCTTCAAATGACATAATGTGTTTATTATTACAGATTTTGGCTTTACTAATATCTTTGCCCCCAACTCTCCACTGAAGTTATGTTTTATTGTTTCAGATTTTGGCTTTAGTAATTTCTTTGCCCCCAACTCTCCACTGAAGTTATGTTTTATTGTTACAGATTTTGGCTTCAGTAATTTCTTTGCCCCCAACTCTCCACTGAAGTTATGTTTTATTGTTACAGATTTTGGCTTCAGTAATTTCTTTGCCCCCAACTCTCCACTGAAGTTATGTTTTATTGTTACAGATTTTGGCTTCAGTAATTTCTTTGCACCCAACTCTCCACTGAAGTTATGTTTTATTGTTACAGATTTTGGCTTTAGTAATTTCTTTGCCCCCAACTCTCCACTGAAGTTATGTTTTATTGTTACAGATTTTGGCTTTAGTAATTTCTTTGCACCCAACTCTCCACTGAAGTTTTGTTTTATTGTTACAGATTTTGGCTTTAGTAATTTCTTTGCCCCCAACTCTCGACTGAAGTTTTGTTTTATTGTTACAGATTTTGGCTTTAGTAATTTCTTTGCACCCAACTCTCCACTGAAGTTATGTTTTATTGTTACAGATTTTGGCTTTAGTAATTTCTTTGCCCCCAACTCTCCACTGAAGTTATGTTTTATTGTTACAGATTTTGGCTTTAGTAACTTCTTTGCCCCCAACTCTCCCCTAAAGACCTGGTGTGGGAGTCCCCCTTATGCGGCCCCAGAACTGTTTGAAGGTGTGGAATACGACGCTCCTAAAGTGGATGTATGGGTGAGTCATATAGGCCCTATCTTTCACTTGTTGAATGCAGATGTATTTGAGAGAATATGTTACATATTGCAGAAAAAAATCTTGTATTTTTAAAGTTTATGTAACAACTAAAGCATTGTGAATCACTGCTAAAACTGGTTTCAGAACACTATTATGATAACAGGTTCAAAGGTCAAACTTAAAGAACATTGTCTTCCTACCTGCTAGATATAACAGTTGCTAGACTAGACTTTAGCCCTAGCGCCTAGACTTGGACCCTGACTTGCCAAATAAAACAGAGAGCTCTACTTCAGCTACTCAAAAACATTTAATGGCTACAATTGTCATGCTGCTTTTTATAGTTCTGTTAATAGTTTTTATATGATTATTTTTTCTATTTCCTGTTTCAGAGTTTGGGTGTAGTGTTGTATGTTTTAGTGTGCGGCGCCCTTCCTTTTGATGGCAGTACATTACAAAGTTTAAGGAACAGAGTTCTAGCAGGCAAATACAGGGTACCTTTCTACATGACAAGAGGTGAGTTACATGTTTTCACTTACCCCTTAGTTCTCACTAGGGGACCTTATTCCTGCACGGAGGACTGTGTTATCAGGGGCATGAGAAAAATGGGCGGGTGATGAAAACCAAAATAATCAAAATGCTTATTTCTAAACCTAATGCTATAATATTTAGCATATATTTATGATTCAGAGTTAAGTCTAAAAATATAAAAAAAATGGCCCAAAAGTTCTTGCCGTTGTCATGGTTATGTCGGCCATCTTGGATTTTATTTACCTTTTTAACATTGAAATAATTCAAGGATGGCTTATGCGAATTCAATAAAAACTTGCAGGAGTATAGAGATAGAAGTTGGTAGCAATCATGATAGATAACATTTTAAAATACTTTTGTTTTTGCAATTTTTTTTTCTGAAAATCACTTTCAAAAAATCAAAATTTGTGCAAAATAGATACCATTTTATCTGTAAAAGAAAAACCATACAAATTTTTAAAACCATACAAATTTTTAAAACCATACAAATTTTCAAAAATTTGTTCTATCAGTTTTGTTGGTATATGTATACAGAATAGCTAAAGAAAATTGTGATCAATTTTTAAATAACCAACATATCATTGGGATGTAATTCCACCATTTGATTGCTGAGTTTGTTTGTTGCCCAGACTGTGAGAACCTGATCAGCAACATTTGATTGATAAGTTTTGTTTGTTTGTTGTCCAGACTGTGAGAACCTGATCAGCAACATTTGATTGATAAGTTTTGTTTGTTTGTTGTCCAGACTGTGAGAACCTGATCAGCAACATGCTGGTGGTGGAGTCAGCCAGGAGGTACACCATCTCACAGATAGTCAAACACACCTGGATGCATGCGGGCTCAGAGGACCTGGACAACGACGAGCTACTCCTTGACCAGGGGGAGGACGACAACTCTCTGTCCGTGGACTCGGACCTCGGCCAGCAGATCCTCACCCACATGGCTAGCCTAGGCCTGGACATTGATTCCACTGTCAAGGTGAGATGGCTGGTCAAACTCTTGATCCCATTTTTATGGCAGTTTTAAATACACTTTTATAACACATCAACAGAACCAGACTGTTTAAACTCCAGTTTTTTAAAATGTTTAAGACAAGGCTTTAGTTCTGTTTTCCTTACCATCTTTATATTAAGCACTTAGTGAAATGGATATGTATACATTTAAAAGAAAATGAATAATGGAGTTAATACAGTCTGGTTCTGTGAAAGCGATATTAATTATTTATTACTGGTGAGATGATGTAAAAGTACACTTTAAAAATTGTTCTCAAATACAAATTGTTCAGATATTATTCTCTAGACTTTAACAGAAATTGAAACACTAAAATGTACATGAGAATATAACACGTTGTCTAAGGTGTAACCGTTTACCTTGTTGTCCCCTGTCTGTAGAATATAACACACTGTCTTAAGGTGTAACCAGTTACCATTTTGTGGTCCCAAGTCTATATAAAACAGTGTCTTATGTTGTAACCATTTACCTTGATGTCCCCAGTCTGTAGAATCCAATAGCTTTGACAACCTAAGTGCCATTTATCACCTACTTGCTGACAAATTCCGGAAGCATCCGCGAGCGATGGTGTCTCGGAACAGTCCAGCTTCAACCACGCCACTCCCCCTAGTGACTAGAACAGAACGCAGATCAAGCATAACAACAGGCATTGGTATGTTTTCACTGGCACTGGCTAGTGTGATTAAACAAGCAATCTGTGTGTTGTAGTAAGCCCTTAAATTCTAAAAATGTATAATTTCAAACAATTTCTTTTAGTCTTACAACTATTCATATTACTGGTATAATTTACAATAATTCATTATTCCTCAAGGAAAAGAACAAAATTGAGTATAGCTTTGGTTTTTGGGCTTTGCAAAGTTATCAAACTAGCATTTAGGCATTTATCTTTATTCATCAGACATTAGCAAATTTTGTGGATAATTTTTTTTAAACATTAAATAAAACAACAATAGTTCTTATCCTTTTTCTGTTTGAATACCTCCTTAGCTTATCATTTATTAATGGTAAAATTAACTTAAAATCTAGATAGTGCATACACTAAAGTCATTAGAGCTCAAAATCAAGTTGATGGTGTTAGTTATTGAATCAGCAGGTCAAATGATATTGTAAATTTGTAGTCACCTGCTGAGATCTTTAATCAAACCACATCTGTGTTTACACAATTGTGACTTAACATGTTAGTAGAGTATTTTTTTTTTTCACAGTTGAAAGGGTAGAGGTTCCCCTGTGACTTGTTTAACATTTTAGTAGAGTATTTTCATATACTTTGACAGTTGAAAGGGTAGAGGTTCCCCTGTGACTTGTTTAACATTTTAGTAGAGTATTTTCATATACTTTGACAGTTGAAAGGGTAGAGGTTCCCCTGTGACTTGTTTAGCATTTTAGTAGAGTATTTTCATATACTTTGACAGTTGAAAGGGTAGAGGTTCCCCTGTGACTTGTTTAGCATTTTAGAGGTTTTTTTTTCACAGTTGAAAGGGTGGAGGTCCCTCTGGAAATACACAGTCCTGAGATACCCATTCAGTCTTCAGCTTCCACATCGCCTTCATCATCTTCATCATCGTTAGCACTCTCATCTCACCTCAGTGCTTTAGCAGCATTCCGCAGCCAGTATGCTCAGGTAGGTCAAGTGTACAGTCCTAGCAGTTTAAAATTTTGCTCAGGTAGGTCAAGTGTACAGTCCTACCAGTTTAAAATTTTGCTCAGGTAGTCAAGTGTACAGTCCTAGCAGTTTAAAATTTTGCTTAGGTAGGTCAAGTGTACAGTGCTACCAGTTTAAAATTTAATCTAGTTGAGAAGCATTTTAAAATAACCCAATCCTACTGCTATATCTATTTATTCCCTCTAAAGTCAGATACAGATGTCTGGCGGAACAAGTAAATTGTGTTGAATCTATTTCAGCTTGAAGACAGCAACCAATCAGATTCAGACGAGGAACCATCCCCCGAGGCTTTGGCCAGGTACCTGGCTATGAGAAGGCACACAGTTGGGGTTGGTGACCCTCGTCACGAGGTCACAGATGACCTTAGGGTCAAGCTCCCTCCTTACTACCCCTTGATGCCGCAGCAGTTGGTTGCTCCCTTACCCCCTCCACCTGATGTCAATTTACCTGAGGTAAGTCCTACCTGGTGGTGACATCATTTTATTAACTACCTGATTGGCAGTTAACTGATTAGCAGCTATATCTTGTTCTAAAATTATTGTTTTAAAAAAATGTCCCAAAAATCCCCATAACATGGTAACAACTGTCTTACAAAATTTGTTTATTTTCCAGTCCCATGGCCACCCTATCATGTCGACATGGACACACAACCCTCATGTGATGACCACTAACTACATGCCCATAGCAGGGGATCCACATTTGTTGAGACCACCAATCAACTTTGGTAAGTCTTAACTCTACCTTCTTTCACACATAATAGTAGCCATGAATCTACACAATCTAATATTCCCAAAATCTGAATGTGTGTGAAAATCACCAGCTGTACATAACATTATCACATCTAACTGCATCACTAGCTTTACATAAAATGTTCTCTGCCTGCAGCCTCGTCTTTGCTGGGTCGCAGGGCCTCTGACGGTGGGGCCAACATCCACCTGTTCTCACACTTCCAGCGCCAGTTCTATGCCAACAGTCAGCCAGGTAGTCATGAAGGACTCCCTCACATGCCCCAGGTGAGAACCAGTTTTTTTTTCCTGCCTGACATTGTCTCTTGTGATTTGTGATCAAAACATTCTACATATGTGAACAATTTTCTATAGACAGTTTGTTTGATTGGAAAATAAAATGTATCTTATAAATTAGTTTGATTTGAAAATAAAATGTATCTTATAAATTTGTTTTTTCCTCTTGCATGTAGTCCCTGTCCCCCACTGGAATCCCACTCCCCACCCCATCCCTACACAACAGCGTGACTGTGGAAGAAGCAGAGGAGCAGGAGCCAGATTTAGATGCCCTCAATGAGTGAGTTGTTTCTTGTGGTCAGCAATAGATGGACCAAATGAATGTTTTATTTATCTGATAATTTTTTAATAGATCTGGTTTTATGTATAGATGGCCGTTTGAACACCCGCCCTAATAAGTTGTGGTCTACCTTGTTGAGTTGAATGCTCTAACATATTCTGTTATACTTTGTCTTGTTACGCCCTAACATATTCTGTTATACTTTGTCTTGTTACGCCCTAACATATTCTGTTATACTTTGTCTTGTTACGCCCTAACATATTCTGTTATACTTTGTCTTGTTATGCCCTAACATATTCTGTTATACTTCGTCAAGTTAGGCCCTAACATATTTTGTCCTACCTTGTCTAGTATGACCTAACCTATTGTCCTACCTTGTGTAGTATGTCCTAACGTAGTTTGTCCTACTTGTGTATTAGTCCTAACCTATTTTGTCGTACCTTGTGTAGCTACCTCCATGGGCGCGGCATCAAACAGAGACACACCCTGGCCATGGTCAGCCCTGAGGAACTCCAACAGAAACTTTCCCTGCACCAGCCAGTCCGCAGTCGTAGATCATCTGGTCTCATGTCCCCATCTGAAAGAAGTTCTCGTAAGTCTTTATATTTCTTACTGATCCTAAGGGAACAGGGCATTACCACACCCTCCCCCCGGGACAGGGTTATGGCTAGGGTTAGGCTTAAACTAATGTCTAGCGTTGGTTTTGGTTTTGTGTTAAGTGGAGGTGGATGCTTAGGTTTTGGTCTTTTTCTTAATGTTAGGATTATTGTAATATATAGGTATAGAATTTGAGTTAGAGTTAGGATTCTAATTTGAGGGGTGGGGGGTTAATTCACCAGAGGGGTAATAGACGGGGGGGGGGGGTGTAAATGTCCTGTAGCCGTATCCTAAATACTTGAGTGTAAGGGATAAGATACAAATACTGGGATCACTTACAGAATATGTTGGCAGGGTTTCAGTATACATATTTGAGAAACATGGATCAGATGGACCCACACAATATTGTCTCTGTTACAGATCGCGATTCCTTTAAAGACGTCAATGCTCTCCACCTGGCCAATGAAAGATTTTCACCTGTACGGCGAGCCAGTGATGGGTTGGCTATCTCAGGGAAAAATCAGGTAAATGTTTACCTGATGGTACATGGTTTTTTTTTATTAAATTTGTCTTTTCATTCAATTAAAAATTGTTTTTGTTTAACCTAACAGGCATAAGTAGGAAGGGTTATTCTATAACTTTGCAGGCATGTTTATAAAATGTCCATCTCCAACTTTGCAGACATGTTTATAAAATGTCCATCTCCAACTTTGCAGGCATGTTTATAAAATGTCCATCTCCAACTTTGCAGACATGTTTATAAAATGTCCATCTCCAACTTTGCAGGCATGTTTATAAAATGTCCATCTCCAACTTTGCAGGCATGTTTATAAAATGTCCATCCAACTTTGCAGACATGTTTATAAAATGTCCATCTCCAACTTTGCAGACATGTTTATAAAATGTCCATCTCCAACTTTGCAGGCATACCTGGAGAATTTGTTCAACCAAAGCCTTGGTACCCAGCATAGTTCACACAGCAGTTTAAAACAGCTGCAGTTGGAGTGTCATGAATTACAGGTAATGCTTCTCACATTGGTGTCCATGACTTCCCCACTGTAGGATGGAGTGGATTCTGTGATTGGTGTTGAGTATAGCCTTTAGTTAACTGTCATACAGCTTTTTTAAAGTGGTCACTTACCCAGGTGTAATTCACAATGTGATTTACTTATTGAGTGGAATACAAGAATGCTAACCAGATATTCTGGAGTTCCTTGCCATAAGAATGGGGTACTTTACATGTGTTAGTGGGTATTTGGTAAAAAAGTAAAATATTCCTCTTAAAACCTAGTGATCCATTAGGCAGATGAAGTGTAGTTCATGTTTCTTGATGGAATAGAAGGAATAGTGTGGTCAGCTCTGTGCCCAGCCACCTTTAATTTCCCTAACTTAAGTCAGGTACCCATCAGAGCTAGGTAGACTCAGGGACTCAAAACTCCAAAATGAGATTTGAAGTTGGTGGGTTAGGTAGGAATTTCTGAGCATTGTACGGATAACCCACTCACAACATAGGGTAGCTTCTACCCCCCCCCCCATCCCCAACCCAGGACCCATCCCCCACCTAGTCTCTAATTTCCTACCGTCTTCCAGAAACAATCAGGATCTGTGGCAGCAGACAAACAGGCAGAGCTCCAACAACAGCACACACTCCACCTCCTGCAACAGCAGAATTTACAGGTAACTTCACACCTACATGTACACGTTGGTCATATTACACACACTCCACCTACTGCAACAGCAGAATTTACAGGTAACTTCACACCTACATGTACACGTTAGTCATATTACACACACTCCACCTCCTGCAACAGCAGAATTTACAGGTAACTTCACACCTGCATGTACACGTTGGTCATATTACACACACTCCACCTACTGCAACAGCAGAATTTACAGGTAACTTCACACCTACATGTACACGTTAGTCATATTACACACACTCCACCTCCTGCAACAGCAGAATTTACAGGTAACTTCACACCTGCATGTACACGTTGGTCATATTACACACACTCCACCTACTGCAACAGCAGAATTTACAGGTAACTTCACACCTACATGTACACGTTGGTCATATTACACACACTCCACCTACTGCAACAGCAGAATTTACAGGTAACTTCACACCTACCATATGGACACTTTAGTCATATTACACACAACATACAGCTGCAGAAGTTACAGGTAACAATACAATAGGTAATTCACATTTCACCCCTACCACTTGAAAACTTTGGTTGACAAAAAGTTCTAGTCAAGATATTCTCTCTTCAGTTCTCTAGATTTTTAAAAACCAATTTCTATAGTAAACAGAAGCTGGCTGAAAATAGACACCACATAAAATAATTAAAATAGACAAAAGTATTTCTATTGTTCAGTCTATAGTGAAATGCACTGGAATGCTGCTTCAATAAAAAACATTTTGACTGGTTTAGACAAGTAGAAATTATACACTTCTTATTGCTCAGACCAATGAAAATTAATTTAAAAAAAAAATATTTTTAACACATTTATCAAAAAGATGGAAGGAAAGTAAACTGTGTTGTTTTTGTAAATATAATCAGTTCGCTTAATTATACAGACAAATTTTGAATTAAATAAAACTTAACAAAAAAAACTAAACATTGAACAAATGTCTGCTAATTGGTTTCAACCACCAAATAGTTAAGACTAAATTTGTTTCTCTATTAAATTGCACTACACACAAGGATACCAAAAACCAGATACTTGAGAATATTTGTTTTGTTTATTTTTTTAGTGATCAAAGTTTTGTGTGAGTTGCAGTTTTGGGTTTGTTTTTTTATTTCCTACCTCCCTTTGTGAAGAGTCACTTGGGCTATCCAGAAGAGCTATCCATACAATGCTTTATTTGCTTGTTTCATAGATTTTATTCTCCCAAACCTCCCTATGTTTTCCCCATGCACTGTGCTATTGAAATAATTTTACTTGACAATTTCTTAAACTCATCTTAAATACCAAGTTATGGCGGAAAGTTGTAAAACTTATTTAAATTTATAACAATAATGAATTTGGTATTCATCCATTCATAAAATTTGATAAAAGAACATAGTTCTGAGAATACAGGATTGTTTAATGTTACCCAGCAAGGGTAGCCGGTCCTACAAATGTTTGATCTAAAGAACATAGTACAATAAATACATCACTTAAGCTTATGGGAGTCATAGTACAGTAAATACAACATCACTTAAGCTTATGGATGCCTCTACTCTGTTGTCTCTCTTGGCATGACATCTTCAACAAAACTGGTTGTGTCTGGTGGTTGGGTTAACCACTCGTGGTGGTTGGGTTAACCACATGTGTTGGTTGGGCTAACCACTCAGGGTGGTTGGGTTAACCTCTTGTGGTGGTTGGGTTAACCACTTATAAAAATGTAGCTCCACACCTCATTATCCTACCTAAATGGTGGCACTAGTGTCTCACTAAATCAGAAACATCAGACCAGTAGGGTTCTAGTACAGGGAAGCCACTGGTCGTACTGATCATGCTTTGTTTATACACTAGTTATTTGAACCTAATAAAGTGTTAATTTCAGCTTTCATTTTTTTCTATCCTTGATGTCTCAAACATTCTTTGGTCTAACAGTTGCTTTACCATTTCACTGTCAGTTGTAGATAGTCTTTATAATGGATTCCATAATAATAATTTTATTTATTCCCAAAATAATAATTAAAAATTGATAGAAATTTAAAGATTTTCAAAAAATAAAATTTTTTACATGAGTATAGAGAATGAAGTCTTGTCAGAGCAGATATAGTATGAATCATGCATATCCATTATCCCAATTAATCCATTATTTTTTGGTTTGGTGCCTGTACGTACCATGCTTTGAAACATGATTACAATCAGATCTCAGTCTTTTTACATCAGTATGTAGTTATATGTTGCTACATGCTAATTCCTTTAATTTTCTGGTTTAGCTGATAGTTCAAATATGAAGTGACCTTACAATTTATTTGACCACTCCTGTTTTGATCATTAAAAGATGATTTTTGTTATTAACTAGTTTTCCAACTCACTGTTAAATTTTAATTTAAACTTTTTTTATTAACCCTAGTTTTTTTAAAATACTAGATGACAATAAGTGTTGTATAACAAATGAATTATATGTTAATTCTCGCTTTGTTTTCTGTTTCAGAGTACAATATGTGTCTCCCCCACCCCCTCCCCTCCACCTTCAGCCTTTGTCAGCTCCAGGCCGCTCTCACCTGATGTCCAGTCTGCGTTGTTGTACCAACAGCTCCAGCAGCTACAGCTTCACCAAATGGCGTCCGGTGGATCACCTTCCTCCTCGCCCACCCCTACAGGCCTGCAGAGGGCGTCGCCTCCCCTCCTCTCAGGGGGGATAACCTCAGGCATTCCAATCACACGGGTCCCTCCTAGTCGAGGCATTGTGTCCGGATTACCCCACCAAATAGGGGGAATATCTTGCGGTATTCCCCATCAGATGGGAGGCTACACCAAACCCATGGGGGGAGGGATAACATCTGGCCTGCCCGTGGTCTCCAGCCCTGGACCTCCCCCCAACACTGGATGTCCTCAATCAGCTTCAACACCCCCGGGGAGCTTGACCTCCGGCCGACCTGTCACCTCCAGAGGCTCCTCCCCACAAACACTCCCGCAGTGCGTCAACGCTGAGCCAGGCTCCATCCCCGCCCTCAGCTTCAGCCAGATGATGCAGGGCCTGCAGTCAGGGTCCGACACCCCCCCAGAGAACTTCTCCAAGCTGCTCCAGACTTTACAGAGCCCTGCCCGTCTGCCAACTGGCCCAGCTGTAGCCTCAGGTCAGAGCAGTTACTTGGGGGATATTGGCAGTTCTGGTCCCAGCACAGGTCGTCTGATCCGAAGCTCAGACTCACCCCCACAGATAGGAGCAGGGAGTGTGGGCTACAGCAACCTGCTGCAGAACTACACACAAACTATACAGAGGTCATCGCCTCCCACAAGCTTCCAGAACCTTCAGATGATCAGGGAAGATGCGGCTGATGCCATGGACAATGGTGCTGAAGGTCGTGTTGATGATGATGAAGAGATGGCTGAAGCTGATATTAAAGTGGCTGGTCACCTACCCCTGACCCCAACCTCATCCTCGGAGCTTGACCAGTACTTTCAAGAGCCCCCCTCACCCGAGCAGATAGCCCATAGACTTGAACAACATAAGAAACGCCGCAGTGCGAAAAAGAGACACTATATAGGAAATCCTCAAATAAGCATCACGGACGCGCAGGGTCATGTGACTGACGTCATCACCACTGACCCCAGCGACATGGTGGAGGAGAGGCTGGAGAGTCCCAGGAATTCACTGACCGGTCACCTGACCCATGTGGATGTGTCCATGTCAAACGCCGGCTCCACCACAGCCTCCCAGCATTACCACCAACAGCAGCGTCAGCAGAAGCTGAAGCAGCTCTTCAACCCCTCGTGGATCAACACCAACCTGGCCAGCATCCCAGGGAGCAGGAGCCCGTCCTCGCCCACCTCCTCCACCTCATCCTTCATGCCGTATGCACCTCCAGCGCTCTCCAGCAGCGCCGTGTCCAGATCACCTTTGTTTTCTTCCTCAATCTCACCCTCGGGGTCCGGCTCAGCCATGCGGCACAGATCATCCGCGTCCTGGCTGCGCCGGCACTCCAGCGGCTACCATCAACATTCCCACCATCACCACCACCACCACCACAACACTCCAGTGCAGCATTCGGATTCTGCTTGTGACCTGTACAGCCCTACGTCTTACTATTCTTACATGATGGGGTACAGCCAGTCCAGGGACCCTTACAGTCCGCTGTGTTTGATAGGTGGCCACAAGCACTACGCTAGCAGTTATAAAACAATGCCCATCCCCCTGCTGTCAGGACGGACTGTTTCACCCACCTGTTTTATAGCAGACCCCTATGGTGAGGGCAGCAGGACAGGCCCGGAGGATCCTTCATTTCCCTGTGAACATTCCATGACCATTCTGCCACATTCCTCTCCGTCATCAAAGGTGTGCTCCCCTGCGACCTCACCTGTGCCAACGATCACATCCTCGCCCCCCTCACCCTCACACATGCCACCCAGCCCTCACCAGCGGTCAGCGTCACCTCACAACTCCCTCTCCCCCTCACCGTCTCCTCCCCAGATCACCTCCTCTGTAACAGCTGTATACTCCTCCTCGCGTCCATCCTCCCCACTTTTTCCCTCCGTCGGAGCCTCCCCCTCCTCGTCCTCCCCAACCTACGGCTGCTACTCCCCTGCCACATCCCCGTTCCCCACCCCCACCAACACACCCCGTCCTTCCATATGTAACACAGACTCAGGACATTCAGAAATGGAGCAGGACATCTCCCCCCACAGTGCAGACAACATGTCCTCCATCCTCCTGGAGATCAAGACGACCCAGCGTAAAAGTGTGGAGGACGTGCTCCAGGCCGTCAAGGCCGCACTGGACTCTATCTGCCCCCAGGTGGACTACCAGTGTTCCGACACCTCCTTCAAACTCAACGGTCACAGCGACCTGCAGATGGAGCTGGAAGTCTGCAGCGGGATGGACGGCCACGTGCCTGGCCTGCAAGTGCGCAAGTTATCTGGCAACAACTTGGAGTATGCCAAGTTGTGCAATCACCTAATGGCCTGTGTCAATAATTGAATTCTGTTGAAGACTAGGATTAGCTTGTTGATAAACAAAGACGATTTGTTATTCTTTCCTGACAGTTACAATCTTGACTTGCATGGGTGATAGGTTCCTCCAACGTCAAGTGTATTTCACGCCTGGGTCTCTACTCTTGGAGGTTTGTTTATAAACATCTTCGTTACTACTCATGGATTAGAAGAACCATTCATGATCATCAGATGACCATCATCAGATGACCATCTGTTTTTATTTATTTGGCCATATGAACCAAAGATGTCAACACTAGATACCTTAAGTAGCTTGTCATAACTAGACTCCTTTTTTTACACAGTGTAGCACATACAGAACAAGCTTAGTTTATCAACTGTTAGCAAGATTTGAGTTGTATCAATTTCAAATCTAGAGCTAAATCCATCAACTGTTAGCAAGACCTAAGTCTTATCAACTTTAATCTACAGCTAAATCTATCAACTTTCATTGAGCTAAATCTATCAACTTTTACTTTTGAGAAAACTGAGGCTCTTACAGTAAATCAAAAGTTGGTGTTTTTTTGTTGGCTGTTGGTGTGATGTGTGGTTAATTTTCTGTAGGCTGTCCTCAGATTTTATTTTGTGATTCTATGGGGGTTTATCTTAACATGAGAGAAATATCTTTGACTTGACTAGTAGTGGGTTAATTCTTGACTCTCTAGGATTAGGATACAAGTTGACTACTTCAGGGAAAAAATTATATATGCAGCTGGTATAGAGGATTTGTTTTGTTTTTAAAATTGGTAATAAATTATAGTATTTGTGACTAATAGTACTAATACAATTATTTACTTTAAAAAAAAAATTCTGGGGGCTGGCATGTGATGCTTAACTAGGTGATTGGCTGTGGTCAGTTGAATGTGTTGGTCTGGCACATTTTTATTGCCTTACATAACTAGGTCTTACTGGATTATATTCTTGTGTCATGCTTGATGTTATTGTCTGATAGAGGTCAGGGCCTTAGATTTAGGTACATGTTGGCCTACAGTGTCTCTCCTGGTCACATCATCTGATGATGTCAGCCCCAACACATTTGGCCAGCCCTCTGTAAATTGTCCAGAATGTAAGTTGACACCTCTCTGGTAGATGGTAACTGACCACACCCTTTGATGATGTGAGCTAACACATTTGGCCAGCAGTGTGTAAATTGTAAGTTGACACCTCTCTGGTAGATGGTAACTGACCACACCCTTTGATGATGTGAGCTAACACATTTGGCCAGCAGTGTGTAAATTGTAAGTTGACACCTCTCTGGTAGATGGTAACTGACCACACCCTTTGATGATGTGAGCTAACACATTTGGCCAGCAGTGTGTAAATTGTAAGTTGACACCTCTCTGGTAGATGGTAACTGACCACACCCTCTGATGTGAGCTAACACATTTGGCCAGCAGTGTGTAAATTGTAAGTTGACACCTCTCTGGTAGATGGTAACTGACCACACCCTCTGATGTGAGCTAACACATTTGGCCAGCAGTGTGTAAATTGTAAGTTGACACCTCTCTGGTAGATGGTAACTGACCACACCCTCTGATGTGAGCTAACACATTTGGCCAGCAGTGTGTAAATTGTAAGTTGACACCTCTCTGGTAGATGGTAACTGACCACACCCTCTGATGTGAGCTAACACATTTGGCCAGCAGTGTGTAAATTGTAAGTTGACACCTCTCTGGTAGATGGTAACTGACCACACCCTCTGATGTGAGCTAACACATTTGGCCAGCAGTGTGTAAATTGTAAGTTGACACCTCTCTGGTAGATGGTAACTGAAGGAATGCTGTGGTCAAACAACTGAAGGAATGCTGTGGTCAAACAACTGAAGGAATGCTGTGGTCAAACAACTGAAGGAATGCTGTGGTCAAACAACTGAAGGAATGCTGTGGTCAAACAACTGAAGGAATGCTGTGGTCAAACAACTGAAGGAATGCTGTGGTCAAACAACTGAAGGAATGCTGTGGTCAAACAACTGAAGGAATGCTGTGGTCAAACAACTGAAGGAATGCTGTGGTCAAACAACTGAAGGAATGCTGTGGTCAAACAACTGAAGGAATGCTGTGGTCAAACATTGATTGTTGCTACACTCTTTGTGATAGACTTTTTACATATACTGAACTCTGTGATTTCACTATGCTAGTCCAATCAAGTACTCGTCCCCAACTGTTGATTCATACTAGTGATGGCTACTTTTTAAACTTATCTAAAGTAACAAATGATACGGAATTGTAGTGATAATATAAGGAGTATGGAAGTAATTTTATTGTAGGATGTGATATGGGGAGATTTATCCTATGAGATTGTGGTATTGTGTTAATCTTGTAAGTTTTATACTCTTTGTTAATATATCATATTTTTTTTTAGATTTTAATTGTAACTTTTTGATTGTACAGGATCATAAAGATCTGATCAGAACTAGGTGGGTTTTTTAAGAGGGATACTTACAGTTTGAGCGAGGTGGGTATTCTAAGAGGGATAGTTACAGTTGGATCTAAAAATGTGCTTGTTATAGAGAAAATCAAGTTCATTGTCATAAGTAAGAAATATAGGTTAGTTTAAAAAACCCAATTAGCATAACACATTTGATGAACATAATACTAGGATCATCTTAGATATTGAGTGATTGGCTGTCTACTTAATTCACACATGTGGTCCACCTAGGTAAAAATCTGAGCATTCCCATCTCTCTAGTGACCTGTGGTTTACTATGTCAGTGACACGGTGTCCTTGAACCCTTCGTAGCAGGCAACATTTGAATAATGAAAGCTAGACCCCAGTGGCTTGATCACAGGAATGTATTTCAACTTTCCACACAGCTCTTTTATACAGGAGAGTTTCAATTTATTTGGGTTAGAGAATATTTCCTGTCAATTTTTGTGGCATCATTCTCTGCCCATAGGTCCTTTGTTTGTCCTTGTAGATTTCATCTATACCCAAGATAGGATTTTTTTTTGTAACATTTTTTGCTGGTGGATCTCCTAGCAACACTGATCACATTTGATAATTATTGTATGCTGTTGAAGGTGATAGCATGTTGAATTGTTTTCTTTGAACTAAGATTTGTGTTTTGTAAGTACATTTGACCTGTAGTTCTTGTCTTCTTTAGGCTGGTGATTTTGTGTTGGTATATTCTAGTTGCCGCTGTATTATATTGCTTTAGTCTTAGTCAGTTTTACAAGCATTCATTGCAATGTTGGAGTAAGACTGTAGAAGTGCTAGTTCTTTGTCTGGTTTTGTAGAATCTGATATACATGTTAGCTTCTATACCGACGGTTATTGTATTCTTTTCTGTGCCTATAAATAAATACCCATGCTAAAAAATTAGGTTATTAAATTTTAATTAACTTAAATTTTAGAAAAATGTTTTTTTAAATTTACGAAATTGGCTTTCTTAGCCGAATCCTGTTTCTCCCTGACAATTTACATTGTGGATGAAAAGAGCAGCATGTTTGTTGCATGTGAGCACTTGTATTGCATGTCTGATTGCATTCTTTACATGCTCTGTCCATTGGTTTATTTTTTCTGTGCTGAATGAGACGGCATTGTTGATATACTTACATACATTTCGTGATAAAGGTTTTTATAATTCATGTGGGTGTTTGTGGTGTAGCAATTGTGCAACCAAATGTTAAACAGTGTCAGGGGCTTGTCGTCTGAGTTACTGTTCTTGACTTTAAATTATAAACAAAAGATAGTGGGTAATGTTGCAATAATTCAGTTTGGTGTTTTCTAATGTGTGAGTGAGTTTCTAGACCAAAGATTAGCTTAACATCATGAACTGTGGAAGCAAATGCTCAAACAATTCAGATACTGGTAAACAAAGTTTGTGATTTTTATGGGGAATTTTTCACTAGGCTTATTAGTTTGCTTTCCTTCACCTTTCACAGTAAACACTGTTTATGACGTTTGATTCCTTACAGGAAAATCAAAACTTTCACTTGTTAACTAGAATAGTGTATTTTAAAACAAATGACAATCATGTCCACGGGCTATGTGCTGTTTATCAGTAAACTTGTAACAGTTATTTTTTTAACTTAACAGCTGTTAGAATTTTGTTTCAATGGATGAAATATTTTGTGGTTAAAGTTGTTGATGCCTACACAAGGTAATGTGTTGAGTGTGTAAAATTGTGTGTGTTCAATGTGTAAGAACCTCCACATCTGATGGTCCAATGTCATCAAAATCATGCACATTTGGTTGAAATTCTTTTACACACACCTTTATACTCCTCAATTAGTAAAATGTACTTGACTTCTTGACCAAAAATAATGAGGTTATATAGATGTACAACTTAAGTCAACACATGACCCATTGACACACTTTATGACCCAGACATAGCCACACAGTAATTAGTAACATAGGATTGATTAGTATCAGGGAATATCAGTTGGACTTAGATTGTATGCACCAACTGATTATTCCTAATTTAAAATCCACTGTATATTTCCTCTTATTATTTACATAATTTTTATTTTCAAAATGGATGTAACATTTTGGGCAGATTTCTTAAACATTTTTAACTTTTATTTTTATTTGAAATTTTTAGATTGAAAAACTCTTAGATGATTTTATTTCTTGTTTTAGCTGTTTTTTTTTTTTACTCTTTAAATCATTTTCAAAATCATAGTAATAGATTTTTTAAAAAGATACACAATTTATATGCCAAACAGTTTTTAACTTATTCTATTTCCTATGGTAAATTTGAAAACAAATTTGTTTCATTTATTCTATGAATATCTTAAATAGAATTATTTTGCAAATACCAAAAACATTTCTTGAATAAACTCCAGTTCAGTTAGCTCACAGTATCTGAATTCATCATTAACCTCACTTTTCTGCCCCACACATTGAACCCAACAAGCTGTTTTACATTTCACACAAAATCTTCCAATTTTACAACTTGAAGACTCTAGGAGTCAACCCTGCACCTGTTTCAACATTTGACAGCCACTAAATTATTGAGCGCTGTGAATAAATACATTGTTTTTTTGTTTGTTGTTAACTTATGCCAACTGTAAAATGAAGCACTTTTTTGTCATTATTTATATCACATGAAACACCTCCTTTATGCTGGAAATAAATTCTTATTGTAAATGCTCAATATGAATTTTATTTGTTTGTCTAGTTCTTGTGTTTGGTGAAAAAATTTTCATCCTTCTTGCTGTGATCCATACTACTTCTTCTTCGTTCTTAATTTTTAGTGTTGGAAGTGATCGAACTCGAGACTTTTTGGTTTAGCAACCAAGAGCTTTACCGATTCAACCACGCAGACCCCTTTCCAACACAAGTATACGTGTCAACTGGTTATGCGCCATTGAGGCCATTGACTATTTCAGCGTGTTTTTCTTTTTGGATTTGCTTCCATAGCCTTTGTCCGACCAAGAACAAACTACAAGGCAGCAGTTGTTTGATTTTGGAGTTGTCTCTCCTAGAAGACGAGCCTCATCTGCCCGGGGGTTCGAACTCGAGACTTTGGTTTTAGCAACCATGAACTTTACCGACTCGACCATGCCCACACCTTCTGATCCATACGATATTGTTTATTTATGTAAAGAAAACAAGATATGGGAAGAATAAAATCATAAGCCAATTAATTGGAGAAGACATTTTAAACACAATCAGGCCAAGAGTCAGACTGCATCATACATGATGTGCTGTCCACATGATTAACCTTGGTCAGAAGGACCTACATCAGGGGTCGGCAACCTGCGGCTCGCGAGCCGCATGCGGCTCTTTTGATGTCGAGGTGCGGCTCTTCAGTTCCATGGACAAATATTAATAATTATTTTATTTTCTTCCTGAAACTAATAAAAATATTAGTCTGCAATACTTTGACATTTTATTTTCGCAAATATCTCCCCATGAGTATTCTCAACAGCTTCCTAAAGTTTCATGGCCATCGGATGAAAGTTGTAATAATGAATAAAAGACAGACACACACACACTTACATACATTGATATATATATATATATATATATATATATATATAGGCCTACCTAATCCTAATCAAAGATCATAATATTAAAATAAAAATGGTTGTGGCTCTTTAAAAGCTGGGAAATTTTGAAAATTGTAACTTTTGGCTCTTCCGTCTCAAAAGGTTGCCGACCCCTGACCTACATAATCAAAGATGTACTAACCATATTAAATAGGTCACAAGAACATGCATCATTCTGGATGTACTGACCACTTTATTGTAGGTCACAGACTGTATCCACATGCTTAAAGTAGGTCACAGGGCCCTTCATCTTCAAAGAACCCCCAATTTAAAAAATAAAATGTAATTATATAAATTAAAAAATAAAAACAACAAAAAAGCATGAACATTGAACACTGAGTTTATTTTCTGTTCCAACATTTCATCACCTGTTCAGTTTATTGTGGACATTTTCCCTGCCACCTAAAGTTTGCACAGTTAAGGGAGGTGGGCAGAGCAAGGATGGTGCAACCAGAAATAGACAACTTAAGATAGGACAACTCTGGTATATAACAATAATTTTAAGTGAGTTTTATACAATTTCTTTGTCAGCATTTTTATTTTTCATCAATTTCACCTTAAAATTTGTTCAACATTTTATGACATTCATGTCATTTAGAGTGACATTGACATCTTTCTGTTCAGCCTTAAACTGGCACATATTATACTAATAGAAATATTTATTTTCTTTAAATACTATGGTCTACCTAGAAAAAACAGAAAAGCTGCACAAGTTTAGGTGAAACAGAAACATCATGAATTCTAATTGTAACATGACAGCAACAATGTCCAACTTATGTATAACAAGAGAGTGACAGACATTCTAATTTGTTTTATACAGCACAGATATGTACAATTGATTTTTCTTGAAAAGACCCGGGCAGATATGTGTCCCATCAATAAAAAAAAATAAAAACTGCTAGTAAATGAATCCATCACAAACTGGACTGGAATTTCTTCAACTCCGTAAGGTAAACAACAATGGTTATAACAAGCTATCAGAGAGAACATGTCATCTAGTGTTAAAACAAGACTGAAGCAAGTTAGTTTGTTATTCTATGAGCTATCTTGTGGTGGTCATGTGAACAATAGTGGCCGCCACCTGCAGCTGAATGGTCTAATGTACACCTAACATGTGTATAGTGCAGACAAATTGAAGCAAAGACCATTCATCCATTAATGATAAAACAATTGATTAAATTAATCTGATCAAGGTTACCGACTTCATTGAAATATTGAATTCAAATATTTTTACCTGAATAAAAACTATACAATTTTTTTATGCAGTAAAAAAAAATTAATATTTGATTAAAATACATATTGATTCTAATAACACATTTTATTTGGTTTTAGAAAAATAACTATTGAGTCATGTGAATAGTCAACATTAAAAACATGCTTAAAAAATGGGTAAAGTGCAACATGGATGATATGTGCACAGTATGAACAAGGGTATATTTGGACGATTGGATCAAAAACCATTTGCTAGCTGATATGTTGCTACAGTGAACTCAGGGCTTCAGGTACAGTATCAAATCAGATGCAACAAGGGGACATAATACATCAGGGGAGTGAACAATAAAGTTGGGTGTCCAGGTATGACTGATGAAAATAAACAATGTGTAAATGCACAAGCCAGTTTGGTTCATGTATACTTGCTGGTGGAAGACCTGCTTCCCACAGCAACAAGGCTGCAAACACAACATTCACAGCATCCTACATCAATCACACACCTACACCATTTACACAAGTACATCATTCACTCAACCACACCATTCACACAAGTACATCATTCACAAAACTACACCATCCACACAAGTACATTACAGGCCGCACCTACACTACACTCAGCATCCTACATCAGTCACACAACTACACCACAGCAACAAGGTAGAACGTACACAATCACACCATTCACACAACAACACCACAGGCTTGTGCAAGAGCTGGTGGACTCCAGATATGTTTAAGGCAAAATTCAAAGCCTTAACTAAGCGAGTTCATCACCTTTAGTGCTGCGGTCAATAGTTTTACACCTGAAGCTAATCATAGGTAACATGTCAAACATTATCACTGTCTAAAATCTGGACCACCAATCAAAACACAGGAGATAAGGCAAGTGATATGTGTTAGTCAAGGACTTGTAAGCCAGCTCAACATGCTCAGTGATAAATTAATTACTGACTTATTACAACAGACCATCAATTCTTGACTGTGGACTTTTATATATGGACTTATAAAGGTTTTTATAAGACATTCAATGGTAACAAAAATGTGTATATTTATTATAGTGTTTGAACAAAAAAAATGATGCTATTCTAACTTGGCAAATGTTGCTTCCATCTCCATAATAACTTCAAACCTCATAATACATTCAAAGTTCTGAAACCATATTCACAAATGTTTCTATTTATAATTTAAAGATGGGTAGGACACATTTGTGAGCTGACAACTCCTGGGGTTGGGATGGTAGGAAATGAAAGTGCTAGAGATGGTGGTATCACTCGGTATGGTGTCAACCATTCCCCCCCCCCCTATTTATTTCAGTAAAATAAAACAGTATTTTGTCAGTAAATGAATGTAGCACTTTTCTTTATGTGGTGTCACCATATAAAAGGTGACACCTCATGCCACAATCGTGTGATGCTATTAGGAAGGTAATAGGCGCACATATTTAACAGATGATGAATCATGTGGTGACCGCTATATTAAAACACAAACACGTTCTAATTTAGACGAGTTATGACCTGCTAGTATAGTTATTATAGTTAGTAGAGTTGAAAATGTACACAAGTTCTAACATTTGACAACAGTTTTATGTTACAATGTCAACATTCTAACATATTTAACAATGTGTGTATATATTACAATGTAGATGATGTAACAAATTTAATGAGTTCCATAATTTATAACGGGAGATTGAAATCAACATGACAGACACATCTCTATCAAATCAAGCAACACCAAATGCTGGTAATGCTAGCAATTCACAGAAAAAAAAAGAACACATTTGAATTAAGCTCCTAGCTCACACATACGCATGACATTTGAATTAAGCTCCTAGCTCACACATACACATGACATTTGAATTAAGCTCTTGGATTACAAAAACATTCATATGACATTTGAATTAAAATCCTAGCTCACATCAAATGTGTGGGATGTTATTTTCATCTTCACTGTTTGGACAGCTTCTTATAAACATATACTAATGCATCATGTGCATAGCAACTGTTACCCATAGTATGTTTGTGGAAATTTGGCTTCTTTCTAAGCATCTGATTTCACATCAACTTCATCAACAATATTAGCTAGATAAATTTTTTTAAAATCAAATAAAAAAAAATAATTTCAATTTAATTTTTTTGTGGGATTGAACATGTAAAATATAAAAAAATTTTTTTCCGAAACAAAATATTTTTTCTCTATTTAAAAAATAATTAAAAACAATTAAAAACTGAATGAACATGTTCAATGTATTGTTTTTTTTTAACATCAATAAGGTGAGGGGAACCTTAGCTGTGAGGAAACCTTTGAGACTGGTCATACAACATTCTCTTGCTCTAAAGATTCCATAGAATCTCCTGTATGTAGCTAATGAGAACAGGGCTTTAATGACAAGTGTAGGAAGTACAGGCCTCATAACACAGAGAGCACCATGTTCTGTTAGCATCTTTTAACATCTAGACAAAAACTGCTGGAGGGTACAGCTGCTAAGTTTACAGGAACTCTGCCTTACAACAACTCAAACTTCAACATCAACATTTTACTCACAGCACATTTCTTCAAGTTTTATTATCATGGCAAGGTCAATAAAAATAGACTATCAAACAGCACCATCAGATTTTTAAATTATGTTTCTATTTCCTCGTGGGGTAAATTAGCACTCACGCTTTCACAATACTCTCAAGACAATTTACTTTTCATTTTTCAAACACTTAATCCACAATTTTCATGGGACTTGTTCATAATAGCAAAGCATTTTCTTCTTTACTTCTGTTAAATATAAAATAATATTTGACCAAAATGTTTTATTGCTGGTGTTTAACAATCCAGCCACCTGGGGTGACAGGTGACACCACCATTGGTAGATCAGCCACCAATGGTGTCAGGTCACCTAACATGCACTACAGCATACAACAAAATAACAAGAAATCAACATTGACCAGCTGGTAACAAATCTATAGCATGGTGTGTACAACTCTATAAAAACAGTTTTTTTATTTCTCTATGTACAATTGTATTGATCCAAATCTACAAGCAAACAACAAAGAACCAAATCAAAACAGTATTGGTTCCCCAACCCACCCACCCAATCACTTGCAGTCTATCTGTCTGACGGACAGACAGACAGGCTGCGAGTAGTAAACATCAGGTCATTGAGACAAGCTATGACCAGGGTCAACTCTGGCAGATATCAGGTCACCATTGAGACAAGCTATGACCAGGGTCAACTCTGGCAGATATCAGGTCACCATTGAGACAAGCTATGACCAGGGTCAACTCTGGCAGATATCAGGTCACCATTGAGACAAGCTATGACCAGGGTCAACTCCTGTTGGCTACAGACTGGGGTCAACTCCTGTTGGTTTCAGACAGGGGTCAACTCCTGTTAGCTACAGACAGGGGTCAACTCAAGTCCATCTGTTCCTCACTCTGACCCCATGACAACATACCCGTGCGGCCCTCGCTGGCCAAGTTTGATTGACAGAACTGGCCGTCAGCCCCAGGGTGGTGGGGGGAGACGGGGTACTGGAACTGTGGGTACAGGTCAGACATTGGGTTGGTAGGGTGGGGGGAGGAGGGGTGGGCGCTGGTGTGATCAGACAGCCAGGTAGTTGGGGAGTGAGAGGAGGGAGGGTAAGATGTCACAGTCGAGGGAGGGTACGATGTCACAGTCGAGGGAGGGTAAGATGTCACAGTGGAGGGAGGGAGTGACGTCACAGAGGATGTGGTAGCACCAGAGACAAAAGGAAACGTGTTCTCATTCTGAAAAGGGTGCACAGCCATGAAAACCCCAGTCCTCCGCTGCCACTGTGTGGGGGTGGGCAGATCTTCCGCTTCGATGGAACTTTCCTCACGTCTGCTGGCAAACGACTGGCGCTGCATGTGAGCGGAGCGGGCCGAAGACATTTTGGGTGAGGTCAGGTCATACATCTGGTCTAGGTCGTTGTTTACCGTGGTACTTCCTGTGTGATCTTGAGGGGGAGCTTCAGCACGCTGAAAGCCAAGGTCACTCTTGGTCATCTGTTGGGAGTGACTGTCTGGCTCGGTCGTGTAGGACGGAGAAGGGGAGGAAAGCCATGAAATACCAGTCTGTGAGCAGGGATCAGAGAGTTCCGGAGTCTTTGAGTTGTCTGCAACAAAACAAGGGGTGGGTTCGTAACGGGCGGGGTAGATTGCTGAAGGGCTACTATTGCTGGAGTCAACATAGGAAGGGTTACAGCTTGTGGCGCAGCAGCTGTTGGAGCTGACGGCACCATCACAGATCACCTCCCTGTAGGCCACAGAAAATGGCACCAGGGGATTGTCACTATGCAGCAGGATCTGATCATAGGCTGGGGCCAGTCCGGGGTGGGACCTGACGACCAGCTGCTGCAGCTGTTCCCCAATGGGCTGGTGCGTGAAGGAGGACATGGCCATCCTCTGCTGGAACAGGCTGGGGAAAGAATCCTGGGCGCCAGTCTCTGGCTCGGCGCCGTGGCTGGTGTCGTAAGTCTGTGCCATGTAAGTACTAGAGGGCGCCCCGTGTGAGCCGGGGTCCAATACTGAAGGGCTCATGTTGGCCTGGGTCAGTGGGTTCATAGGGTGAAAAGGTTGGGCGGCCATGGCCTGGAGGGGCCAGTTGTTGGCCTCCGTCTGGGCCTTGACCATAGTTGGCACTGTCATCTGTGTCGACTGGCTAAAACTGGTGTCAGTGACGCCATGATCCTGGAGTTGACAGTTTTGTGTGAGACAGTTCTGATCCATTGAGACTTGTCCTGGAGCTTGATCCTGGAACTGCTGAGTCATGGCTTGAGCAAAGTAGCCTGGCACCATCTAAAAGATTCAGAGGACAGGACATTTATTTGACCATCTCAAACAAAAAATGTGTAAAAACTAAAACCAAGCAGTAAACTGCATACCTGAACAGCAGCAAAAGTGGGAGTGGCGCCAGGCTTGAGATTAAGCTGCTGGAACTGCTGGGCCAACTGGCCATGTTTCTGGAAGGTCTGCCTCTTCTGCTGCAGCCTCTGTTGGCTGCTGTCAACAAAGTCTCCAGTCCCAGAGGTCAGGCCACTGGGGGCCTGGACTGACTGGTCAACATTCTCCTGGCTACTGGCCCTCTCTAGGTGCTCTTCTACCTGTGGATCAAGCCAAGCAGTCAGGTAAGGTCACCTCAGTAGGAAACATACAGCCATATCAAGCAGTCAGGTAAGGTCACAACAGTAGGAAACTGTCTCATCTGTCTAGACAGAATCAACTGTCTCACCTGTCTACACAACTGTCTCACCTGTCTAGACAACTGTCTCACCTGTCTAGACAACTGTCTCACCTGTCTAGACTGAGTCAACTGTCTCACCTATCTAGACTGAATCAACTGTCTCACCTGTCTAGACTGAATCAACTGTCTCACCTGTCTAGACTGTGTCACCTGTCTAGACTGAATCAACTGCCTCACCTGTCTAGACAACTGTCTCACCTGTCTAGACTGAATCAACTGTCTCACCTGTCTAGACTGAATCAACTGTCTCACCTGTCTAGACTGAATCAACTGTCTCACCTGTCTAGACTGAATCAACTGTCTCACCTGTCTAGACTGTCTCACCTGTCTAGACTTAATCAACTGTCTCACCAGTCTAGACTGAATCAACTGTCTCACCTGTCTAGAATGAATCAACTGTCTCACCTGTCTAGACTGAATCAACTGTCTCACCTGTCTAGACAACTGTCTCACCTGTCTAGACAACTGTCTCACCTGTCTAGACAACTGTCTCACCTGTCTAGACAACTGTCTCACCTGTATAGACTGAACCAACTGTCTCACCTGTCTAGACTGAATCAACTGTCTCACCTGTCTAGACTGAATCAACTGTCTCACCTGTCTAGACTGAATCAACTGTCTCACCTGTCTAGACTGTCTCACCTGTCTAGACTTAATCAACTGTCTCACCTGTCTAGACTGAATCAACTGTCTCACCTGTCTAGACTGAATCAACTGTCTCACCTGTCTAGACTGAATCAACTGTCTCACCTGTCTAGACAACTGTCTCACCTGTCTAGACAACTGTCTCACCTGTCTAGACAACTGTCTCACCTGTCTAGACAACTGTCTCACCTGTATAGACTGAACCAACTGTCTCACCTGTCTAGACTGAATCAACTGTCTCACCTGCCTAGACAACTGTCTCACCTGTCTAGACAACTGTCTCACCTTTCTAGACAACTGTCTCACCTGTATAGCTTGCTTCAACGCCAGCAGGCGGTGTGGCTGGATGTCAAAGGTCTCTGATGGCAGGCTCATCCTCTTGATGAGAGGGCGGCGCCGCTGGGGGGACTGTTCGTCCAGCGACCACTGACGGAAGCCTCCATGGTGGGGCGCAGACAGCTTGCGGTGGGGCTGTGGCGGCTTGGATGACGTCACAGCTGTGCTTGAGGTGACTGTGGTGGTGGTTGTGGGACAACTGCTGGTGCTGACGCTCTCAGTGGGTTTGGTGTTGTACATGTTCTGTGGGACACAGAGTTGAGCTCAGGTTAGGCTACACAACATGACCATCACAGACTAGATTGATTTCAATGTCTAAGGTGCAGTGGCGTAGCGAGGTCGAGTGTCACCCGGTGCGGCACTTAATGGTGTCACCCCCTAGAGGCGTAACGACCCTTCCCGAGGACAAACTTTCAAGTTTTTGATTTGCACAACCCCCCTTCTCAAACTTTCGATCTGCACCCCCCCTCAAGTTTTCTTTTTTGCACCCCCCCCCCCTAAAATTTCAATTTGCAACCCCCCCCCCCCCACCCCTCAAGTTTTTCTCTATATATTTTGCTATTTTTTGCCTTGGTGTCACCCCCCTAAATTGTGTCACTCGGTGCGGTCCGCACCCCCGCCCCCCCCCCTTCCCTCGCTACGCCCCTGCTAAGGTGATCTGATTTGAATGACTAAGGTGATTTCAATGACCAAGACAATTTGAATGACTAAATGGATATGAATGACTAAATGGATATGAATGACTAAATGGATATGAATGACTAAATGGATATGAATGACTAAATGGATATGAATGACTAAATGGATATGAATACTTAAAGAAACACTGGTAAATAGAGGTGACTGACCTGCAGCTGCTGATGTTCCTGTCTCAGTTCCAGCATGCCCTGGGCCCGCATGCTCTCCTTTAACTTCTGTTTGAATGCAATGATGCCCTGAGCTACCAGCCCATCAGATGCACGCCGACCTTCTCTGAAGTTGACTGGAGACCTGGTCTGAGCCCTGTCTTGTAGAAATTCCTCTGGCACCGGCTGTTCATCTTGATTCACCTGCACACAATACATCATGTCAAAATTTTGGTGATCCTTTTAGTTTTGTACTCATGTTTTTTTAGTGAGATATAAATTTTACTATCCACCCTGGACAGAGATCAGAAACAATTATATAACAAGTTTTGTGGATACGTGGTCAAGAGACCTGGCACTTTCATTGTTATTTTTAAAACCATGACCACAGGTCAATTTCAAGTAACCTACGGACTAGTTAATATACAAAAGTTGACTAAATGCTGATGATATGTAAACATAACCCAAAATCTTCAGCAAGTAAATTTCATAGAAATGACAAAAGTATTTAGAAATATGTTGTTTTCAGTTGTGTTAGAGCAATGAGAGGAAGGAAATGTTTTACCTGCAGAAACTGGTTGACACCCAGCGCCATGTCTGGCCTCAATGAGAACGGAGACACACCCGAGGGTCCACCTGATGGCCCACTGATGGAGTAGCGCCCATGGCGAGGATGTCCACCTCCCCCTCCCCCGCTGACATTGGTCAGGTGACTCAACATGGAGCTGGGGTACAGGGTGAGCAGATGCTGGTGGCTGTTCTCCGCGGGGGCCTTCCCACGGCTGGTGTTGATGTAGCTCCCCTCCTGCTGCATGGCCAGGACTGCTGCCTGGAAGGGCGAGGACAGCTGGGAGCACAGGTCCACCCCCAGGCTAGAGTCCGTGCTGGTGCAGGGGGACAGGCTGACCATGCTGCTCTGGCCTCCGCAGCTGGACATGCTTGACCGCTGGCCCGTACAGAAACCAGACAGGGAACCTCGAGATCGAGACGGATAACCAGCACCCCCACCGATCATGGATTCAACGTCAGAGTCCCTGCGGTCTAGGATATCCACCTCCACACCCTCATCGATGGATGTTGTTATCACACTGCCAGCCACAGCCCCACCCTGGGGGGACTTGAGGAAGGGCTGGGGGAGAATCTCACTCATGCAGAGTGCCACGTTTGGCGTGGGCGGGACCATGTCTGCTTCACTGAGGGGATAGTTCCGTGGCACTAGGACGGTGCCAACGCTGGGGGTGTCCAGGGTGCGAGAGAACCCTCCGTGTTTGGTTGATCCAATCAACGGACGACCAGGAATATTCTGTAACATGGCCTGCTCGGCTATGGTGCTAGGGCGGCGCCGGCGAGCGTCAACTCTGGAATCTGTGGGGAAACTACTTCGGTGGTGGCGCAACCTGTCCAGCAGGAGGTAATAGATGGCGGTGTAGTGGTCATACGCGTCTTTGCGTAATGCCTGCAGGTGAAACAACACAGTCAAGGTTACATGTACCACACAAAACTGGTTTCAAATAACTTTTATTGATTTTAAAAAAGGAAAAATTATATATATAGTTCTAACATTCTTTTCCTTATTTAACAGAGCAACAACGATTGCTCAGTAACCAATATTACTATTTATTAAACTGTTTTATTATAGAAACAAAGCAGAGTTTGAACAAGGGCCTATACTAACCTCCATAGTTTTCTTCTGATCAATGCCCAAACTTTGCATGATGCGAAGAATTTGTTCGTTGAATTCTCCAACGCTTGCGTTGTAGCCGATGATAGGTGAGGGTGGGGCAGAGCGGGGGTAGCCCCCGTCTATCTGCATCCAGCGGTGGGCACGGATTTGAGCAATGCTGTAGCGTTTTGTGGGATCTAGGACCAGCATCCGACGGATAAGCTGTTCACATTCTGGGTGGAGAAAAACAATTAAGGGAACTGCAACCATACCCAAGTTATTATCACCTTTAGCAATTATTTCTGTATGTTTTATTGACAAAGCTGGTTCAAAATACAAATTTATTTATAAGCCACATAATTAATAATATGTAACTAAGCAGCACTGTTGCTAGGTAACTATACAACAGAGCTGTTGCCCGGTAGCTAAAGAGAGAACAAACCTGAGGACATGAAATAAGGAATACGGAACCGTCCTGACAGGACCCTGTCTCTGAGGACTTGGAGGTTGGGGCCATCAAATGGCAGCGCCCCACATACCAGGACATAGAGGACAACACCCAGGCTCTGTAAGACATATAGTGCAGTACATTAGTAAGAAATTTCAAATGTCAAAAGACATTAGGTTATATAGTGTAGCACAGAAGTAACACTTAATAAATGTCACTTCCTTACATATAGGACACTAAGTTATATGGTGCAGTACATTAGTAAGACAATTCAAATCTTAAGAAAATTTGTTCTCCTAAGTTAGAGAGCTAAATAAAATGTCTGCTGGCCACTGACCCAAATATCAATCTGTGGCCCCAGATATTTCTTCCCCTCGTAGACCTCAGGCGCTGCATAGGGAGGGCTCCCACACCAGGTGGCCAGCTGTTCATTGGGTTCAAAAAAATTTCCAAAACCAAAATCTGGGGGGAAAAATAGTCTAATTATAGCATGGTACATTCAGACATTATATGGAGACATGAACACAAAATAGGGTTCTTGTAAAGTTTGGTTTTTGTGACAACCAAACAATGACAAACTAGGTGAAGCAGAGCGTACCTGCAATCTTTATGTTCATGTTGGCGTCCAGCAGAAGGTTCTCAGCCTTGAGGTCCCTGTGGACTATCCTCCTGTTGTGGCAGTACTCCACAGCTGACAAGATCTGCCAGAACTTTTTCCTAGCGTCTTGCTCTGGCATCCGACCATATTGGGCGATGTAATCTGGGGGTGGAGATTAGAGCCTGTGTTGATGGCAGTGTCAGGTAAGTACAGCTGTGGACAGTGGACTACTGGAAGGTTATAGCCTGTGTTGATGGCAGTGTCAGTTTTGACAGTAGGTAAGTACAGCAGTGGACAGTGGACTACTGGATAAGGATAATACAAAGCTGATATAGAAGCAGAGAATGTAATACTGGATTAAAGGATAACATTAAGTGTAACATTAACAGCACAGGATGGGACAACAAGGTACTGGATAAACAGATAACACAAAAATCAACACTCACTTCACACAGGAAGGGACAAAAAAAAACAGGCAGTACAGTGTAATAATGGATAAAAAGAAGACACAAAGAGGTAACAATAACTTGGTACAGATGGGGACAGTGTAATATTATAGTGGATAAAAAAAGGCACAAAGATTAACACAAAATGTATGTAGAAAGGGGAGAGTGTAATGCTGGATATAGAGATAATAACAGGGAAACATTAAACCAGTACAAGGAGTTGAAGATGTCTATAAAATACTTCCAACATGAGTTGAGTAAAGGAGAAACAAATAGCTAAAATGCTCAAAAGGAAAATCACAGGGCTGTCTTAGTACAGAAGGGTGAAGTTGTTTAAATCACAACCAACAGATAACTCTAGCCTGGTGAGAAGTAAGGGGGTGGGGGGAGGCACCATTTTAATTCAAGACAACAAAAATGACAAGACCATTTGTCATGTCACCACTGCCATAAAACTGACTCCAACAGCCCCGCCCCCCCCCCCCCCATGTTTACCTGCCCTACCATCATAGCATCTTATCTTGGTCACAATACCAGTCTCATGTTACACTGATGACGTCAAGCCATGCGGGCCAGGTTTACTTAACCTTATTTATCAGTCTCTCAACGATCGAAGACTTTCACCTTGGGCGCAAACCTACATCACGTGGTCCTAGTGCGGGCAGACCCGATCATCATATCTTTAACAATGTCTTGTAAATCAAGCAGGCTATATATAGATACATTCTAGACCTGATAAACTTAAACACGGAGGTCGTGTCAGTCATGTACATACAGAAACGTGGACAGTTCTAGTTGCATGATGAGAACGCAAGACCACACAAGTCAATTTTATGCGCGCTTTTTTCTAAGACTAGTAAACGACCGACCGTAGGCCTACAAACAACAATTTAAAAACCATATCCCGAAAACCAATACGTAAAAAGAATATTTCCGTTGCTTACCTTAACATAGCACAATACCGTGAGGGATATGGTCAGGTTACACCTTACAGCGGCCTAGTCAGGGGGGAGGGGGATTGTGGTGCGGGTCAGTTTATGGTGGCGTAGTTGGGGGGTGAGGTTAGGGCGGCATATTTGGGTGGGTTATGTTACTGACATCGTCAGGGGGGGGGTCGTGGCTGGGGTCAGCTTATTGTGGCAGTCAGGGAGGAGCAGGTTAAGATGACAATATTCATTATTGGCACACACAAAAATAGCTTCGAATATTTCCAGCGATGTACGAACAAAGTTGTAGGCTGTTATATAACCAGTATTAAAATAGGTCCGTATTTATTGCCATCCACGCGTGTTATGGGTTATAAAAGTTTAAAACTTTTTCTCAATAGTAGTCTACTGAGAGAACTATTATTCAAACTATTGAGTGTGTATATGAGAAAGGGGGGGGGGGGGAGCAAGAGTTGAAGCGTAACAGGTTGAAAGCTTTTGATGACACACACAACTTACGACGGCAGTAAAACGGTACTAACATCTAAATGTGGACAGAGAGCACCCACATGAGGCGCATCTCTCACTTCACCTCAGCAGGCAGATCATGCCGATACCACACGGTGGCAACACACATCTCTTTTATAGATAACTTGAGAAAAAACCTCTCAACAGTTTTTTAACAATACAGTGTTTTTGTTTTCTTGAAATCAAAGTTAGAGGTGAGCTCTCGTGGAAGTGAGGGCTGGCGAGACGACGAATGTACTGGATGAAAATAACGGGTTGATCAAAAAGTTATTAAAGACGTTCAAAGATCCCAATGGGATACGTGTCTCAGTTTCATTTAGGAGAAACTTGACTCGCACAGAAGCTTGGTGGGCTCGGTTCAAAGTTCACCTCCCACACAATGGTGGGCTCAGTTCAAAGTTCACCTCCCACACAATGGTGGGCTCAGTTCAAAGTTCACCTCCCACACAATGGTGGGCTCAGTTCAAAGTTCACCTCCCACACAATGGTGGGCTCAGTTCAAAGTTCACCTCCCACACAAGCTATATCTAACTGAGACCTACAAGTCTGTAGACAATCACCTATTCGACGTGTTAGACTTCACCCCCAATTACAACAAGAAAACACCATGGTACAAAAGACCACTGCAAGGGTAGGGGAAGCAAGCAGCTCACCAATTCCACTTCCTGTCGCCCCCCTCCCCTGACTACAGAAATAGATGCTCCCTGCCCTTAATTTCATTAGATCGCCATTAAAATGTTTCCATTTTCGTTACACCGTCAGTCTATTTGGGGGAGCGCGAGTAAGCCGGATATAGATTTTCAGCTAGCAAATAAGCATCGGTTCTATTGATTTCTGTACAGGTGCTAATTTAGTCCGGGCTAAACAAGGCGCGGGAACATTTTATACAGGCATCGTCTTGGTACTATTTCATTCTGGTCACTAGATCTGTGTACATTAGACACTAATCGATGTACTTTAGTCGATAGATCTCTGTGCTTTAGTCGCTTGATCTGTGTGCGTTAGTCATCAAATATGTGTACATTAGTCACTAGAACTGTGTGCTTTAGTCATCAAGTATGTGTACATAAGTCACTAGATCTGTGTGCTTTAATCACTAGATCTATAGAAGCAAAACAAGGGTAGAACGCGTGCATGGTCAAACTAATTAGTTTTTCCAGTAAACACATTTAGATGGTTTAATCCCATGTTGTTCAGTGGTAGCACGAAAACATCAGCGATACGTGATAGTCCATACATTGGAGGTGCCACGTCAGACCAGTGGGCCCACACGCTGTAGGTGTGACGTCAGACATGACCAGTGGGCCCACACGCTGTAGGTGTGACGTCAGACATGACCAGTGGTACCAAACACTGTAGGTGTGACGTCAGACATGACCAGTGGTACCAAACACTGTAGGTGTGACGTCAGACATGACCAGTGGTACCAAACACTGTAGGCGTGACGTCAGACATGACCAGTGGTACCAAACACTGTAGGTGTGACGTCAGACATGACCAGTGGTACCAAACACTGTAGGTGTGACGTCAGACATAATTGTCCACACATTATAGGTGTGACGTCAGGCTTGTCAGCGGGTCCAAATACAATAGGCGCGACGTCCTACGAGTCCTCTATATATAGATGTGCGTCATACGGATCCATACAATAGGAATGACATTATGCATAACTAATGTGTCCGTCAGACCAGTCAAATGAGAGAGGGTACTCCCCAATCGACCAAAGTACGAGCTTTAGTTAACAAACACACAACATCCCCTACAATGCTACGGGAGCATAAGTTACTCAGTTGTCCAGTTTTTCAATAAAAGCATAGGTTTCATTTTTATTTTTTAAATATCCCAGCCAAAAAAAAAAACAACTTAAATGCATATATATATATATATATATATATATATATATATATATATATATATATATATATATATATATATATATATATATATATATATATCAGGTAGTTTGTCACTTCTGGTAATGTGAATTTGGTCAGATTTAAAATTCCGCTTCACCAAATAACGAAACATGACACCGACCTTTAGAAATGTGAGACTCCCTGGCCCAAATCGCCAATAATACAATTAACAACCAATGGCAGCCACGTTTGGTAAACACGTGATCTGCGATTGTCTCGACTTTCCTAAAACAGAGCGTCTAATGAAGCTAGGAACTATATTTAGATCTTTAAGGTATGGTGCGCCGTAAGAGCCGGCGTGGAACCGATCTCCCACATCGGCAGGCTGCCAGAAGTGGAATGTCCTTTGTTTATTTTAGTCAAATGTTAAACAGAATCTATCGGATAGCATGGCCTTTACATTCAAACAAGCTAAGATGCCAGAAATTTGGGACTCAATTACAAACGTGGCGAGCCAAATAAATACAGCCTTGACATGTGACCTTTTGACCTATTAAGAATGAAAGCGCGAGAAAGGTGAATGAAAAAGTTATTTAACAACTAGTTACAGAGTTTCTCTTTTCATGAATCAGTCGTACACAGCTTGGAGAGGGGGGGGGGGAGAGGGGGGGTAGGCTGTAAAGCTAGAGCTGGGAGCATTTTGAACAGGGACTGAAGTATTATTAGCATCAGAATAAACAAACTTGGTATCGCCACCAACAGTTCAAGATCGTATCACCACCACCAGTTTAATATGGTGTCACCACCAAAAATTAAGATATCACCACCAACAGTTTAAGATGGTATTACCAGCACCAATTTCAATGGTATGGCCACCACCAGTTTCAGATGGTATCACCAGCAACGGCTGAGACGGTATCACCTCCAACGGCTGAGATGGTATCACCACCAACGGCTGAGACGGTATCGCCACCAGCAGTTTAAGACGGTATCACCAGCCCAATTTCAGATGGTATCACCACCAACAGCTGAGACGGTATCACCAGCAACGGCTGAGACGGTATCACCTCTAATCTCCCCGGGGCCTAGAGCCAGGTCTTTTGTCCGTGCTAATTACACCGCTCACCGTCCCAGGCAGGCGCTCAGGTTACCAGATGACGTCAGACGATCCTTGATATCAAGAGGCTATTACGTTGCAGGCACGTGCCACAGCTCACAGAGAGGACTCACGCCAAGGACAGAGACAAACTGACGACGCATGCTAGCAAAGACACGACGCACGCTAGCGCAGACCGTAGACAAAATGGGAGGAAGAGGAGCTGGGTGACACCTAACACCACAAGACAAATATTTGGTTGGATTTGTTTAAAATTATCCGTTTTTTTTTTGAAGGCGTATAAAAATGTGACCATTAAGAACACGGAAGTAAAACGAGTAAACGAGACACCAGCATTTTAAGACGGCCTTGACACAGAAGACTAAACACATCTTGCTGACACGGCTACACGTGGAAGGAATAAGACGAGATCCACTGGAGGGACACGACCAGAGGTGGACAGGGTCGACAGGACATTAGGATAAATCCCAGTAGGATCGGTGCTGTAAAGGACTAAATAAATCATCTGATTTTTTTAAAAAGGTCTTAAATTTAATTGACCCTTCCGATTTGTTGTTCTGTTGTTAATGTATATTGCAATTCATAGCGTGACTTAAGCGTCTTGATCGGGCTTGGATAAAAAAAAACTATTACACCGTGAAAATGAATACCCAGATGGGAGGGAAATGGAATGGGGGGGGGGGGGCTTTTATTTATTTATTTCCCAAGCCAGACCACTGTTGGGCACGACGGTCTAAAGTTTAAACCGTGAACATGTCTGAGGACAAGAGTGAGTGACCATCTCAGCTGACGCAGGATTCTGTACCGAAATGACCACAGCAGAACTAGGTCATATATGTGCCAGTTGAGCTACGATTTAAAGGCCGTTAAATCAATGTCACTCTAGCTGCTCTAGATACATCTTGTATCATCGTTAGAACCTTCACTGTATCGGACAAATAATGTGCACTAAAGTTACAATCAAACACAATGAACAGCTGTCTTCATTACATTACAATATAATACATCAACTGACTTGATGACACAACAATCAAACCCAATGAACAGCTGATTTCATTACATTACAATATAATACATCAACTGACTTGATGACACAACAATCAAACCCAATGAACAGCTGATTTCATTACACACCAATAAAACACAGACTTAACTAACTTACAATATAATACATCAACTGACTAGATCACACTACAAACACAATGAACAGCTGACTTCATTACACACCAATAAAACACAACCTTAACTAATTAAAACGAAACTAATACAATGATGAGGAAATACTTCAATGAGTTTTCTAGACGCCCACGACATCAGTTGCCTACATCTTCAATAGGAAACCATTGATTATACAACCAGGGGTCATTTTTTAAAGCACGTTAGCTTAAGAGGAGAAACAACAAAAAATCACACCTAATTAGAGGGGGAGGGGGGAGCAACAAGAAAAATCAGATAGAAGGGGGGAGGAACAACAAGAAAAATCACACCTAATTAGATGGGGGAGGGAACAAGAAAAATCACATCTTATTAAATAGGGCTGGGGGAAACAAGAAGAATCAGATATAATGGGGGGACAAGAAAAATCAAATTAGATTGGGGGGGGGGGGGCAAGAGAAATCACTTATTTAAATGGAGAATAAACCGGAGATGGGGAGGAAAAAGAGAAAAGATAAGGAGGGGTGAGGGGTGAGGGGGGGGGTGGCACACAAAAATCACACCTATTTAGAAACGATATTGATAAAGACAAAACCAGAGAAAGTGGGGGAGCAACAAGAACGATGACGTCAATTGACAACCAACGTCAAAGCACAGCAGGTAAACATCCACGTTTGGGACAGGTGGTTTTGTAAACAGTACAGCTGTACAGGTAGATGGAGCACCCCTCACCCACCCCGTCCTTCCCTAGTCCGTTTGGACATAAGGAATTCCCACGTGGAGAAATTATTATATAAACAATGTGTAGGAATGCTAAATGCTATTTCCATGTCAATAACTTAATGTAATAAAAGCATGCTTGGTCAGCGTCCCCATTCCCACTTTAAAAAAAAAATGTTCAAGTTCGTTTTTTTTTTATTTCAACCAGCCAAGGACAATATAACTGTAATGTAACTCTAATAGGACCGTGCAAATCAGGGGTCTCCAAACTTTTCAGTCCGAGGGCCGCATTAACTATCAAATTTCATTTCTCGGGCCAGTTAGTTCCAAACATGTCTTTGATTTTTCTGGGCAAAGTTGCTCAGCCATCACCAACAAACGTTTTTTTTCCGTGGACAAAAAGATCCCCGCGGGCCATATGGGAGGACCTCGCGGGCCGCATCCGGCCCACGGGCCGTAGTTTGGAGACCCCTGGTGTAAATCATAGGTCGATGTAGGCTACTCACCAAAGATTTCTCCATTGGGTGCATACTCCGATACAAGGTACAGCATGTTCTTTGTCTCCATCACCTGTAGAGAAGTCAAAAGACATTTCTTAGATACATTTATTTTCGTCAAATTCAGTCAAAACACATTCCGTTAGACACATTAATTTTTTAGTTAAATTCAGACGAAAAAAATTCCGTCATTATTTTTGTTAAATTTCAGGGCACACATTCATGTCAATCTACAGTTTAATAAAGATATTAAGTAAGACAAGACCTTAAGTCAACTAGAAGTAGGTCAACTCCTTCTCACACACCCCACCCTCCCCATCTAAAGCTCCTAGCGTAGTTTAAGTTTGTTGTTTCCAGCCCTCAGAGTTATGGTGTGACCACATCTTGTGGACGCCCCCCCCCCTCATTTAACGCTGTACTAAAGCTGTTAGCGTGGTGTAGTTAGCGTGGTGTAGTTAGCGTGGTGTAGTTAGCGTGGTGTAGTTAGCGTGGTGTAGTTAGCGTGGTGTAGTTAGCATCCATTCCTGCTGTTCTCAGCACTCAGAGATATGGTGTCAATGCCACGGGTTCTGACGCACTTTCACGTTAGAAATCAATACAAGAAAGGAAAAAAAAAGGTAGGGAGGGTGGGGATAAGAAAAAGTGCAAGTTTTACGTCAAGACGTCCTGAGACAAATCAACTGGAGCTAATCGCTTTATAGGGCGGGCGTGAGGGGTGGGGATGCCATGAATGAGTCACAAACATTTAGGTGATCGCCATTTCGGCTTTGGCTCAGTACGGAAAAGCTTTCCTAACGAAACTCTGTGGTCCCGGCATTAGATTTTATCTCTTTCATTTTCAAAACCATGAAATGGAAGTGTAAAATCGATATTTGAGAAGATGCATTGAGCCAAATTTCATAAGGATTTAAACTGCGAAATGGTTTTGATACGTCGTGATCATAAAGATGAGAGCAGGCGTGTATTGAACCGGCCGATGACGTCACATCAAGTGTACCAATTTGCCGGTATTGTAAAACGTATGACGTCAGCGAGATAGGATGTGATCAATTTATCAACGGCCACATCATCATGTCTGGAGAATCACGAAGCGGATCTGTTCGAGTCACGTGATGCTGGCTAAGCTGGGAGGGGGGGGGGGAAGGGGGAGAGAGGGGGGGCAGAATAGGCAACCCAATAATAAACTGAAAGTTTAAAAAGATAAAAAAGAAAATGGAAACATTAAAAGATGAAGGCAGCTAAACTAACAACTGTTGCTGCTGACGTAGACCTCGAGGGGTGGGGGGGGGGGGGGGGGAAGAGAGGAGGAGGCAGGTGATATTAAAGATGAAGTAAGTATTTACTGTATCCCAGACATCTAAAATATCGTTCAAAACCCGAACCCTTGAAATGTGTTTGATGTCCTAAAGAAATCAACATCTAGGAATAATGCGAGGAGGGGGGGGGGGGGAGAAGGAAGCGAAGTGTTAAATTTATATTATTTTGTTTTTATCCGAATTCACCGAAATAAATCAGTCACCAAAAGCGCTATCTAAAATACAGTCACAACTTATCTAGCGAGCTAGATCTAATATGGTTTGCAAAACTATTCGACAGGACTTGGTATTTGTAAGAGATTTTGAAGTTCAATATATGCAAGTCAAAAATTAAATTAGCTTTAAGAGCAACTTTATCTCTAGATAGTAGGTACAAAAAGGAAGACCAAGACGCAGGTAAGCATAAAAGATGAAGCGAGCTGCCATTAGAAGAATTAGCCTTGAGATATTGAGGCCCTAGCTGCCATTAGAAGAATTAGCCTTGAGATATTGAGGCCCTAGCTGCCATTAGAAGAATTAGCCTTGAGATATTGAGGCCCTAGCTGCCATTAGAAGAATTAGCCTTGAGATATTGAGGCCCTAGCTGCCATTAGAATAGTTAGCCTTGAGATATTGAGGCCCTACGTGATAGACTGGCTACTAACAGGATGCACGAGCCAGCATCCATTAGAAGAATTAGCCTTGAGATATTGAGGCCCTAGCTACCATTAGAAGAATTAGCCTTGAGATATTGAGGCCCTAGCTACCATTAGAAGAATTAGCCTTGAGATATTGAGGCCCTAGCTACCATTAGAAGAATTAGCCTTGAGATATTGAGGCCCTAGCTGCCATTAGAAGAATTAGCCTTGAGATATTGAGGCCCTAGCTGCCATTAGAAGAATTAGCCTTGAGATATTGAGGCCCTAGCTGCCATTAGAAGAATTAGCCTTGAGATATTGAGGCCCTAGCTGCCATTAGAAGAATTAGCCTTGAGATATTGAGGCCCTAGCTACCATTAGAAGAATTAGCCTTGAGATATTGAGGCCCTAGCTGCCATTAGAAGAATTAGCCTTGAGATATTGAGGCCCTAGCTGCCATTAGAAGAATTAGCCTTGAGATATCGAGGCCCTAGCTACCATTAGAAGAATTAGCCTTGAGATATTGAGGCCCTAGCTACCATTAGAAGAATTAGCCTTGAGATATTGAGGCCCTAGCTGCCATTAGAAGAATTAGCCTTGAGATATTGAGGCCCTAGCTGCCATTAGAAGAATTAGCCTTGAGATATTGAGGCCCTAGCTGCCATTAGAAGAATTAGCCTTGAGATATTGAGGCCCTAGCTGCCATTAGAAGAATTAGCCTTGAGATATTGAGGCCCTAGCTGCCATTAGAAGAATTAGCCTTGAGATATTGAGGCCCTAGCTGCCATTAGAAGAATTAGCCTTGAGATATTGAGGCCCTAGCTGCCATTAGAAGAATTAGCCTTGAGATATTGAGGCCCTAGCTGCCATTAGAAGAATTAGCCTTGAGATATTGAGGCCCTAGCTGCCATTAGAAGAATTAGCCTTGAGATATTGAGGCCCTAGCTGCCATTAGAAGAATTAGCCTTGAGATATTGAGGCCCTAGCTGCCATTAGAAGAATTAGCCTTGAGATATTGAGGCCCTAGCTGCCATTAGAAGAATTAGCCTTGAGATATTGAGGCCCTAGCTGCCATTAGAAGAATTAGCCTTGAGATATTGAGGCCCTAGCTGCCATTAGAAGAATTAGCCTTGAGATATTGAGGCCCTAGCTGCCATTAGAAGAATTAGCCTTGAGATATTGAGGCCCTAGCTGCCATTAGAAGAATTAGCCTTGAGATATTGAGGCCCTAGCTGCCATTAGAAGAATTAGCCTTGAGATATTGAGGCCCTAGCTGCCATTAGAAGAATTAGCCTTGAGATATTGAGGCCCTAGCTGCCATTAGAAGAATTAGCCTTGAGATATTGAGGCCCTAGCTGCCATTAGAAGAATTAGCCTTGAGATATTGAGGCCCTAGCTGCCATTAGAAGAATTAGCCTTGAGATATTGAGGCCCTAGCTGCCATTAGAAGAATTAGCCTTGAGATATTGAGGCCCTAGCTGCCATTAGAAGAATTAGCCTTGAGATATTGAGGCCCTAGCTGCCATTAGAAGAATTAGCCTTGAGATATTGAGGCCCTAGCTGCCATTAGAAGAATTAGCCTTGAGATATTGAGGCCCTACGTGATAGACTGGCTACTAACAGGATGCACGCGCCAGCACCAGGCTGGAAAGGTTAAGAGGATCCCACCATCAGCAAGCGTGTGCGTCACAGCACTAATCTAACTAGCTTTATACTGACGTCATACCTACAGAACAAAACAAAAAACACGCATACACGCACAACACAAGAAAAAAAAACACCCATACACGCACAGAACAGAAAAAAATGACAAGCACACACGCGATAAAATAATTTTGTCAAGTAGATTGTGTGTTTTATGAAAGATCATTGCCCTAAACATAAAGTGATTGCAACGCGACAGCTGTCGTCTTCTACCCCCCCCCCCCCCCTTCCTTCCTTCATGATTGTGTTGTGTAAACATAAGAACAGATTAGTACGTCTCCTGCTGAGGACAATCCTACAGCTCAAGAAGGTGGATGCGCCCATGTAATCCACAGCTGTGGATAACTGCTGCAGTGGATCATGGATACACATGAGGACAATCCTACAGCTCAAGAAGGTGGATGCGCCCATGTAATCCACTCGCTGCAGTGGATCATGGATACAGCTGGCATACAGCATGATTAGACCGACAGCAGCTGTTTGATGCGACGTTTGCACGGACATCTAAATATAACATCACAAGTACATATAATACAATCATTTATATGACTACCAAACACTAGTACATGCACACAATCATACCCCTAAGCACATCCAAAGTTACAAACACCATCTAAAACACAACACCATCTAAAACACATCTAAAACACAACACCATCTAAAACACAACACCATGGACCAGTATTTTAAGTACACAAACAACCAAATCACTATTGCGAATTAGCAGCAAGCCCAAATACTTGTAAGTAAACTAAAGAGGGCCCACAGTAGGCATAAATATGACGTAAACATTGTGTTATATAACCGATACATATACATAACGATATGTTCATTATCATTGTAATTATAACTCATCATCTAACATACCTATCCATGTGTCGACCATAAACATCATAATAAAACAGTAATAATAATAGTGTATCCATTGCTAAATAAATATTATTATTGTGGCTGCCCCTCCCTCCCACGGAGAAGTCATCATAAAATGTCTCTTTCATCAGGAGAGTTACCCCCCCCCCCCTTTCGCTTAAAACCGCACGTGATTTCTCCATAGAGATTTTTTGTCATCTCTTCCCAATATTCCAGCTTTTTTTTTAAATGACGTCATTCTGACGCACTCACAAGTAAATAAGATTCAAACATCTAATGTAATTAATTGAACGGAAAGAGGATGGTAGTGGGGGGTTGGATTTGCTCCCCTTGTCAGGAGTTTTTTCTTCCCTTGTTGTAATTCGATTAGAGGGATTTACGACACCGTTCAAACGGATGAGTATAGAAACCTTACGCTAATCAATTACGTAGCACAATCGCTTCAATGTACATATTCAGATTTTTGTTTTCTTTCATAGCATTAAAACTTACTTGCAACACTGGTATTATTTACGAATTGCATTAATGCGCAATGTATTATGCATTTCACATTAATGTTACTAGTAACATTCATGTGCAATACATTATGTATTGTAATACGTATTGCAGAAATACATTTCTGCATTCCATATGAATGGTGCTTATCTTGTAAGTGAATTTCAAACCCGGAAACTTTGAGTCTAGTGTGCCGATCCGGAAACGAAAACTTATGGTTCTCACATCCGGAAGTCTATGACGACCCGGAACAGTGACGCCCCGGTGCATAGTTTTAAAGCCTTTAGTTTATATGCCGAGGCAACTGAAACAGATTAATTCTACTTCATCTGCCCAAAGTGTCTTGGGCACAAACAGAAAAATATTAGGATCCTTTTATATAAGCGACAAGCTAATCGTTTACAGTATCTACTAACAAATAAATTTTACAATGGTCAAGAAAATTTACCAGCATAGGGATAAATGGATCGTCAAAAAGAGAATTTAAAACAGACGGAGAAGTATTTAAAATATAGAAGGGTAGAGCTTGGTGTGGTTGTGTAAAACATACAAGAGAACCCACCTGGTAGAGCTTGATGATGTGGTTGTGTAAAACATACAAGAGAACCCACCTGGTAGAGCTTGATGATGTGGTTGTGTAAAACATACAAGAGAACCCACCTGGTAGAGCTTGATGATGTGGTTGTGTAAAACATACAAGGGTACCCACCTGGTAGAGCTTGATGATGTGGTTGTGTAAAACATACAAGGGTACCCACCTGGTAGAGCTTGATGATGTGGTTGTGTAAAACATACAAGGGTACCCACCTGGTAGAGCTTGATGATGTGGTTGTGTAAAGCATACAAGGGTACCCACCTGGTAGAGCTTGATGATGTGGTTGTGTAAAACATACAAGGGTACCCACCTGGTAGAGCTTGATGATGTGGTTGTGTAAAACATACAAGGGTACCCACCTGGTAGAGCTTGATGATGTGGTTGTGGCTGATGAGCTTCATGATCTGAACCTCTCTGTAGACCTTCTTCAAGTTGACTTCATCCAGCTGGGTCTTATCGATGATCTTAATGGCCACCTGTGGGGAGAACATTTTCTTAATGACACAAGTGGGGTAAACATTTTCTTAATGACACACAAAAGGGTGAAAACATTTTAATAATGACACACAAATGGAGAAAACATATAAATAATGTAGACACAAATGAGGAAAACATTTTCTTGAAATCACTAATATGGGGAAAAACATCAGCTTAATTACACAAAATGGGGGGGGGGGGGGAGAGGACATTTTTTTAAAGGCACAAAAATAGGGAAGGGACATTTTCTTAATGAAAAAAAAATTATGACAGAAGGTTACGTTTTCTTAATGGCACAAAAATGGGGTACACATTTTTTTAACGTTACTAAAATGGGAAGAGGACATTTTCTTAATGGCACAAACTTATTTCCTTAATGGCTAACTCAAGATTCTGGCCAAAAAAAAATTAACTTTCTTTATGATGTAAGGCATAAGAAATAATTTGTTTAATGGATGTGTAAGGAAAAAAAGAAGTTCACCATTAATCAATGGCAGTATTAATGGGAAAAAATGAACTGAAAGGCTGCAAAAGGTCGCCTAGTGGAAGTGTTGCCCGGTAAACTAGTTCAGAGGTTGGCTATATAAACTCTTTACAACCTGCTTCTTTTAACCTCGCTTTCAAACAAGGCTGGTGAGAAGTCTTAAATCATACCGTTTGACATGCCCTCCCCCCTGGGAAGAGTGAAGTGGGGGTATTTAGTTGTTACATAAACCAAATGAAGCTGTCAATTGTACGGAATAAAAAAAATACGAGAAGCTATACGATTACGATCTGGAATTTAAATTAGTTTACTAAGAAGAGATGTTCAAAAGCTGTAAAAAAAAAACGGAACAAATTATGAGGCGTGGCTCCATGGGATTGGTGGGGTCGATGTTTCAGTTGTTTTTCTTAATGGGAAGAGGAGGGGGTGAGGAGATCGTTGCTAGGGAGATGATGGGTCGGTGTTGGGGGGAAAGCAGGGTCCCGGTGTAGGGGCGGGGTCGATCAAGCCAAATCTGTGCGAACTCCGTTGGCCCGGGCCAAGAAAAATACCACTCACGTGGGGTTCCCTGACATTTCCCATGTCGACCAGTCACAACATCCAGAGCTGCACTATAGGTATCGATGACGTCAACGTGACGTCAGGGGCCAATCAATTGAAACTGCTGCGAGACGAGAGCATTGTCCGGGCCGAGACGTGGATGTATACATTAGCGATAAGCCCGCTCGATAAGTGACGTGGCTTAAGTAACAAACTTCATTTTTTTTTTGACAAACATGTTTAGGCTCACGCTAATCAACATTTTTTGACAAACATGTTTCGGCTCACACTAATCAACATTTATTGACAAACATGTTTAGGCTCACGCTAATCAACATTTTTTGACAAACATGTTTAGGCTCACGCTAATCAAGACACGAAACCACTGGATGAAAACAATTCGGGATGCTTTGTGGACAACAAATAATGAAAACAATACGAGGCCAGTTTTGTATCTTGTTCACCTACGCTTAGAGCTATGAAACGTTTACAAAGCACAAAGAATATTATCTGCGTCAAATGTAATCTTTGTGCGCTTGTTCTAAAAAAAGGGAGCGCACTTTAACCAGGTCTGTAAGATGGCATTCTTGTATTTTCAGACTAAGCAAATATTTCAACCAAGCGAGCAACAAGGAGCGATTTGTCCCTTGACAAACATAAAGACAAAGAAAGACAAAACAAAACGTTACAGCTAAAGGTTGGAAGATAGTATCGTCTCCCATAGCAACGGCTGGTTCAAGAATATTGTACACCAAAGAAAGGTAACCACAGCTACTTACGTCAGAGTGACGTCATTGATACTTGATCATACCATCCACTCCAATGCGAGATTGAATCGAAGGGGTAGGGTTGGGGGGGGGGGGGGGGGGGGAGGAAGCAGCGGGTAGTAGAAAATAGCCGGCGTGGCAGAGAAAGGTGTTAGCAGAGGAAGGGAATCTGTGAGAAGTAAACAGGCTGCTGGTTGAAGCAGCAGTCACGTCAACTGTACTAGAGGTCAGGGTCATCACAAGGTAACAATGTGACCCAAACATGACCGTCACTATTGATGTATTCAAGTCAGATTTATCTGCACCCACCGATCACAGCCCCAGATGTTTACCTGTGTTTTGTACAATACCACTTGAGAATTTTTTAACCTTGTTCACGTGTCATACCTTATGCCACCGTGCCAACCATCTAAATACCAACATTCTAGTGCAGTTATATAAAAGACATGTATACTAGCTCGATGACCTATCCGGCAACCACCCATATCAAAGTCCACAAAAAACGTTAGCTCTGGTGGTTCCAATGACGTCTGTCTATGCCAATCCCAAACAAAACATTATATATATATATGTGTGTGTGTGTGTGTGTGTATAGTATAACTAAAGATTACAAAACATTTCAGCCATCTCCGACACACAAGCTAACACAAGTGTTGGTCATGTCTAACGCACGAGACACCGCTACGTTCAAACAAATCCCCAGGGTTTGATATAATCAAAGTGTTTCTATCACTTTCTTATTAAGGCTGGGTATCTTTATGAGACAGCGGCGAACTGATAAAACGAATCAACTGACGGCGATAGAGAGACAAATGTTGAGCAGCGGTGCGAATCTTCCAACTCACCAGGACGAGCGTGCCTCCCCAGTTAACTCCGTATACATTTCTCCGTGGGCCGATCAATTAATGATTAGCCTCGTCTCGGCTAATGAGGTGTGACGTAAGCGGGAGACTGGGGTGTGTCATAGCCAGCTGTGCCAGGGGTTTCCTGACCTCCTTTCGCAACTGTCTACATGTATGACAGCGGGGTGTCGCCGTTGACGTCAACGATAAATCAATGGCTATTGCCCGGTGACACACGACAGCTAAAAGGCGGGGTGGGGAGGGGGGGGGTGTATCGGTATGGCGGGGAACAGGTTGGTGGAGTGGTAAGGCGAAGAAAGGTAGGTGTAGTGGTAAGCGGGGGTGGGGGGGGGGGGAGGGAAAAGGTCGGTGTAGTGGTAAGGCGGGGAACAGGTCGGTGTAGTGGTAAGGTGGGGAACAGGGAAAAGGTTGGTGTAGTGGTAAGGTCGGGAACAGGGGAACAGGTTGGCGTAGTGGTAAGGTGGGGAACAGGGGAACAGGTTGGTGTAGTGGTAAGGTCGGTAACAGGGGAACAGGTTGGCGTAGTGGTAAGGTGGGGAACACGTCGGCGTATTATGGGTTGCCCCTTAACTATGTACGACACTCTCCTAGTCCCGAGTGATTACTCACTACGACATCAATCAAGCACAAGTGCAAACAGGCGCACAAAGCAACTCATCCAGTTAGAGGAAAGCTGCATCTAAGTATGACAGCTGTAGCCAGCTAACCTCTCCATACCGGCTCCAGCTTGCAGTGATTAAACCAGCAGCGTGAAGCGATCGCTCGAGATGAAAGGTCTCCTGACCTGATCCGTCATGTGAGATGGCAACTATGTACGTATGTTATTATCCTGGTGGCACGGGATACGTGGCCGAGCTAGACGTGGACACGAGATGAAGATTGAATGGAAACTAAATGTCACCTCATATTTTTTCAAAGATCACCGTGGCAGAGGGTGTGGCGGGCAAGGGGGTGGGGGTGTCAGAATTTGAAAACAAATTGTAATCTAGAATCTAGAGGAAGTTGATTGAAAAAGTTAATCGGCGAGGCTAAGTACGGAGTAGGAGAAAAAAGCCAAAACTACCAAAACTTGGTTGAAAAAGTTAATCAGCGAGGTAAAAATCAGAGTAGGTAAAAAAAAAAAGTTTAAACTACCAAAACTTGATTGAAAAAGTTAATCAGCGAGGCTAAGTACGGAGTAGGAGAAAAAAAAAGTTTAAACTACCAAAACCTGATTGAAAAAGTTGATCACTATGGCAAAGTGCGGGATAAGGAATAAAAATTTTTAAAATATATAAAAGCTGCTACAGTTAATTTGATCAAATTTTGAAGGAGTCAACAATGTAACTTCTGTGACATAAAAATTTAATGAAATGTATCTAAACAACCAATGAATGGATCTAAGTGAAGGAATTTCGTTTGGCAGGCCAGAAGATAAAAAAATACTTAAAAAAAAACTTTTTAAAAAACCACGTTTTTCTTGTGGACTAAAAAGTAAAAAATAACTATTTACATACATTTGATGACAAAAAACGTGGGTACGTTCACCATCAAATTTCCCGACCCATCTGCCCGACCCACGTTTTTTGTCATCAAATGTATGTAAATAGTTATTTTTTACTTTTTAGTCCACAAGAAAAACGTGGTTTTTTAAAAAGTTTTTTTTTAAGTATTTTATTTTCTCCTTTTTAGTCCGTTGCTACACATGAAAAACGTGGTTTTTAAAAAGTTTTTTATATAGTTTATTTTCTACTTTATCTAATCACTTGATTAAGTATGACTTGACTAAGTGTTTTTAAATACACGGACTAAAAAAATCTTGAGCGACCGATACGCTTTAAACAGAGAAAGGGTGTAATTTACGTTGCTGGCGTGGAGATCTACTCACGAATCACGTGATCAAATCTCCCATAAACAAACAAATAAATGCGAAGCTGAGTTAAGGAAAAACGTGTTTATGTGTATTTTAGCATGCCCAGCGTACCAACCGTGTCACCGTTAACAATGTGTTACCGTGTCTGTTCTCCTTTTTAGTCCGTTGCTACACATAAAAAACGTGGTTTTTTAAAAAGTTTTTTTTAAGTATTTTATTTTCTCCTTTTTAGTCCGTTGCTACACATGAAAAACGTGGTTTTTAAAAAAGTGTTTATAAATACACGGACTAAAAATCTTGAGCAACCAGGATTCGAACCTGGGTTGTCGCGGCCACAACGCGAAGTACTAACCACTATACGATCACGGCCAGCGCGCTCACATCGATTGGGGCCGAAGTAACTGTGTCAATAGGCCTCAAGTCTTGTCGGTATCTTTAGAAATCATGTCCTCAATTTTATGGTCCTTGGGGCGTAATTAAATTAAGCTAATTA